GTAGCGACACTGCACAGTCGCTTCCCTCTCCAAAGAGAGGGCGGAACCTAACCTAACCTAACCTAACCTAACCTAACCTAACACAAACCAACCTGCAAAAAGTAATCATACACATTAAAAAAAAAAAAAAAAAAAAAAACTAACCTAACCACGGCCTTTTTCGTACGCTAAGAATACCCCGATTCTCCTAAAATTTTGTAGGCAGATACTAGATTTTTCGTTAGACCTTAATCCGTTGTAAAAATAGAGTTATTTTCGATAGTTTTTAAAATATTTAATTTTTTCACTTATATAACAATTCATACTAAACGTGAAATCAATGTAAACAAAGATTGCGTTGATGTCTTGTCTATAGCATAAAAAATTTCAAAATTTTAACTATTTAATAAAAAAATATTTAACGAGAAAAAAAAATCCACGCGGACCAGGCAGCAGACGGGACTCGAACCCACACCCTTCGCAATCCGGGTGAATGCACTGACCAATTATGCTACCGCGGCCCTCACGGACCGCGTCGAAAGGACATCGACGAAATCGGCCCTAGCATGCCCAAAAGAATGTCCTTCACTATTATCTTTCTATTATTTTTTTAACATATTAGCAATTAATCATAGTAAACGGACAATCTGTTTAAAAAAATAAAAAAATAAAGTTCTGTTACTAGATACTACAGTCTATTCATCCAACTTGGCACTCCTTTTTATTGAAAAAACAGCATTAAAAATCAACTGATAACTGGATTCAAAAGGTTTCAGTCTATAATAACGATTTATTTTAATAGTTTATTGGCTTCGTTAATATTTTATTATTAAATGGGTGATTCTGTTAAAAAGTTGTGCCAAGATTGTTTACTTTAATAAATGCATTAGAGGCGACCATAGGTATTTATCAAAAGAAAAATAGAGAAACCTTAGTTAATAATACTTATTACTAGTATTATATTTATAAAAAGATTATTTCTGAAATTATGTAAAGATAGTTTATACTCCCATCCCATTTAATATCTGTTTATTTTTATGAAAATCATAATGATAATCAGGTACATACCTAATTAACGATAGTAAAATATAGAAACAGGTAAATCGAAAGACTGAACATTTCATTTGAAAAGAAATCTATTATTACTACAGGTAAGGTATAGGTATCGTAGGTGCCAACTGATAACACTCATTAATCAATATGAATATAAGCATTTATTATTTTTATTATTAATTGCATTTTATGTTCATTTAATGCATATTATTTAAGTGCTTACATAGAGGTAAACACTAAATCTATTCAGAATATATAAAGTGTACATCTTTTACGATTAAGTATAATAATTATAACCTCAAAATCAAATACATTCTGTAGTAGGCCACGGTTCCTCAAGTTGTCCGTATCTCAACAAATGCCTAATTAGAGTTTATGAATGATTCCGAACACAACTAGCATTTTCTCATTGCTGGGCGTTCTAGGGCATTCAATGTATGGGGAACGAGCAATGTCCTTTCTCTAGCCATTCTTAAGCTGCAAGGCAGCGTCATCTCTTCGCATTATAGGTAACCCACAATGTCAAATGAATACTTTTACAAGTATTAAACATTTGAAAGAAGAAATAGCAATTATAGTTATAATTTTTATTTTTAAAGCATGTAACTGCTTGATGTTTAAATCTAAAGAATATATAACGAGAAAAAATTGTTATTTCTTCTTTCAAATGTTTAATACTTGTAAAAAACCCCTTCGGGGAAAGCAAAGTAGGTAGTGCTCGATGCAGCCATGGAACAGATGAAATCCTCCGGAAACCTGAAAAGGACAACAAAAGAGGCGATAATTCATAATTCCGAAGGGATGATTTTTTTTATATTTTTTTTAAATTTTTAATTAAACTAAAATTATTTATAAAAAAATATAATTTTTAAACAATATAAATAAAAAAAAATTATGATTATATGATTTTTGAAAATTTATTTAAATTTTTAACTTAAATTAATTATTAAAAAAAATTTAAACAAACCTTTTTTATGATGTATAAAATTATAAAAGAAATGGAAAGAAACAACTACAGAAGGTGAGGGTAGCTCAAATTTGCTGAAGGAAAGGAGCGACGTGATGAAAAAATATTACGAGAAGTGATGCAGATTAAAAAAAACAGAGGATAGGAAAACCTATGCGGAAATAGCAGCAGCTTCCAAAGGCACATACACCTCAAGTGCCCATACAAACCGCACCTAAGGCTGGAAATACACATGCCAGTAAATCGGGAAAGTAGCTGGCATGAAAGTTACTGGCATGTACGAGTAACTGGCACACTGCGGATACATTTGCAAGTAGAACTGGCATGCAAGGGCACAACTTATTACCATCGCGTATACACAGGACAGTTCGTGAGAGTCACTCGTACCTACCTATTATATTACTACTATTCTACTACTATTCTTGGTAGGTAGGTAACCTTCCAAATATGGATAACAATCGAAGTGATTTAAACAAAATCGTGTTGTTACTAGCATTTAATTCAGATTTAATTCTTCTTGTATTTTGCTGTAGGCATTGGCACGTGCTATTTTGTTTTTATGTTATTATGTTTCTATGTTTATTTTCAGGTTAGCAGCCCCCCGCGTCCTCTCCCTCGACGGGCATGCAAGTAAATCAAATGTGCTAACTGCTTGCATGCCAGTATGCCAGTATTACAGGCATGCCAATTAGCGTATACACATGATAGTTGCTGGCACGTGCAAGGAGCTGGTATGCTAGTTTGCAAGCTACGGGCACGTATATCCCCAACTTAAAAACTTTTTGGTTTCATTATAAATAAACTTTTTATTTATTTATCAAGAACTGTTCATTCAAATATCGATCATTCTTTTAATGTCCCATTCCTAACTTTTGTATTTGTGTACACTCGGACAATTGTATATACATATATATATATATATTTATATAAAAATTGTTAGCGTGTGTATGTTTTTTTGTTTGTGTGACGTGATTTTTGAAATGCGCGTTCACAGCAACAACACGCTTGTGTTTGAGTGAGTGTTGCATATTTTCGTTAGTGTGCTATTCGTGTTTACCTCGTCCCCAGAACGACAGAAACTTTCGTATGGAATGAAGTTCCAAGGGCTACTTGGGTTTAATAGATACTCAAAGCAGTAATTTGTTATCAACGGCGTATTTACTTTAGGGCCAAGAGGGTCATGAACCGAGGCAGCAAGCTTCGAGGGGCGATTGTAATAGCAAGAGCTGCGAGGGGTGCTTTAAAATACGCTGTAGCTTATAACGCTTAAAATTATTAGTGCCCCAAAAACCGTGATCGAAATCTTAGGTCCATGGCTGCTTCGATTTTATTCGAGTGAAGTTGCGAAGAAATCATAACAAAACGCAAATCTAAAAATGGCAACCCAGTTTGAAAAACGTCAAATCATCAAAAGTCATTCGCCTTCTGTGAATCGTGCACTATTTTCATTTTATTTCTTTGATATTTTGCTAATTTATTTGGACGAACACGATAACAGCCTGTCAATTACTTAGAAGAATAGTATTACATTCTTGTGGAGACGAAGTAAGTGTGCTAACTGTACTAAACTAGAATTATTTCGAAACAGTTGTCATTTTGTATACCACTATGTAGATATTATTTTGGTTTATTGGAACTGCTGAGTAATTTCAATACCAGAGCGGTCTGTGAGCTTTGTTCTATTCCCTTGACACGGTGCCAAATGGTATTTGCCAAAGTTTTGGCGGTGTTTAACGCTGATAACTTTGTGTTTTTCTAGAAGTTCATCATTTTCTAACCCTAAGAGATGTTTAGGAGGTATGCCTTCTATGGAAAAGACCCTGTGTTTATTTTTATCCTGATTGTTCAGCTGATGATGACTGGCAGTTGTACTGTTGTTTTATCGAAAACAGTTTCGTTATATCATTATAGAGATTCTAAAACAAGTTGGGAAGTTATTTGAAAAAAAAAAGTTATTAGGTGCAACTTAAATATATTCAACATTATACTTCCTCATTAAATTCTATTTCATTGTCCATAGAGGGACTTGTTTACTATTTTTAGGTAAGAGTTGTTAATATGTACTTTTAGTGTATGTGTAGTTCAGTGACCTCCGCAACATGGAAGGAAAACAATATTTATGCATGTCATTACAGTTTCAGTGATATAGGTACGGACTATGTGAAATTGTTATTAAATAAATGTGAAAAACTGCAATCTTTATTTTATTTGCATTTTGTTTTTTGAATATAATTTAATGGTTACTGTTTGTGAATTATGAATATTTATCAAAACGTATTTGATTATTATAAACATTTCTACAAGTCTACATAGTGGAATTATTTATTATGTGTATTTTGAAACCTAATTTTTATTGTGCTTTCTGTTTCTTACTGAGCATAGAATTTTCGATATCACTTATAGAAGAGATCTCTTTTAGAGATAGCCCACCTTTACTTCCTACTTACTTTGCGTTGTATACTTGTATAATTTTTATGTGATAGAGAGATAATACTCATTATTCTTCTTATAAATCGGATTTGGTCTTATTTTGTAACAACTAAATATTAAATCTAAAGAAAGTTTACTAGAAAAAAATCCACGCGGACCAGGCAGCGGACGGGACTCGAACCCGCACCCTTCGCTATCCGGGCGAATGCACTGACCATTATGCTACCACGGCCCTTTTCGCCGCGTCGAAATTTTCCTAGCCTTAAGCTGCAAGGCAGCGCCATCTCTTCGCATTGTAGGTAATCCACAATGTCAAATGAATACTTTTTCAAGTATTAAACATTTGAAAGAAGAAATAGCAATTATAGTTATGTTTTTATTTATTTTTAAGCATTTAACTGCTAGATGTTTAAATCTAAAGAAAATAATGCCTGGTCCGCGTGGATTTTTTTTCTAGTAAACTTTCTTTAGATTTAAACATCTAGCAGTTAAATGCTTAAAAAGAAATAAAAACATAACTAAATATTAAATGTTATTTTTCATTCCAGTTTCATGACATAGCATCCTGATGATGTCGCTAAAGCCAAGAAACGTCGACTTTCAGGAGACGTGGGCCAACCTCAAAGAAACTGTGAGTATGATTTATAATTCGTTATTTTTTTATTTTTTATACAAGAAAAAGTTAAAAAATCTTAACCTATAGGTAGTAATTTATCTTGGTACTAGTTTAGTGACTAAATAAATATTCAAAGTATTTTTTCATTGGTTGACGATTTGATTTAGAGTTTATTCCTGTTTAAAAAAAAAACATTTCTATCTTTATTGGTGTTATAGGTGAAAACCTATTAATTTATTTTGCTTATTGATATTTTTTTTTATTAACTAATTCCCAGACAGTTTTACTAGCCATCAAACTTATTGGATACTAATAATGGAACTATTAAAGGTTTTTATGTTTGTTACTCAATCATGCAAAAACTGCTGCCATTCAGCAGTTTGGATGAAATTTGCTACGCATATAGTTTATGACCTGAATTGAGAAATAGGATATTTTTTATCCTGGAACTTTCCCAGTTGTGTTTTTCCTGAGGCCAGGAGCGGATTTACGTAGGGGCTTGGGCGAGGGGGGGCTAGAGACCCGGGCCCCGCGGGGCCCCCGTTATCTCATGAAATACCAAAAAAAAGTTTGGCCTGAACAGTACATGTATCCCTCCCTTTTACATATGAAAAAGTTCTTGCCAATAATCCAATAAATACAGTTGCTTAGAGAGTAACATAACTTGTTTTATTAGCTAACATTCCCATTAGTGCATAAAAGCGGAATTTAGAACAATTGGGAATCATATCCGTAATTTCGACAATTTTCAAATTTTTTTAACCCAAATCAAAACTCAATGTGAAGTTATAGTTTTGACGGAGTGTTGGCTGTCGGGCAATATGACAGTTCCACAATTAGATGGTTACTCTCATTATGAGTCAGCACAATTATTCAATCAAAATGATGGTATTGTAATCTATCACAAAAGTGAACTTGATGTCAAGGTTATGGAACCTCCTTTTCAAGAAGGAAATTGTTTGATAATTCAATATCATGATATCGCCATAGTGGCAATTTACCGTCCACCTTGCTTCCACAATATAGATTTATTTTTAACTTCGCTTAATGATGTGCTTGTGTCTCTTTCATGTTTTAAAAATGTCGCTATTATTGGCGATATCAACTTGGATGTAGTAACAGGATCGACGGATGCTAGAGCTATGGAATATTTAAACCTTAACGCTTTTCACGGCTTACTTCCTGCTCACAATATTCCAACGCGTAATAAGGCGTGTCTCGACCATGTAATCCTTCGCTCCGCTATGAAAGCTACTACGATAGTCCTTAACTCATCCGTTACCGATCACCAAGCTGTCATATTAAGTTTCGCAACTAAATCGAATACAAAAAGAGGGTCCAAAACTTTGAAAAGATTAAATTACGATAAAATTAGGATAGAATTAAAGAACAATAGTATGGATTTTATCATTCAATGTAGTGATGCTAATGTTGCAACGGATTTATTTATTTCATACTTGCAAAAAATAATTTCAGAAAACACTTCAACCATTACAATCCCTAACAAAAAAAGAACTATAAAACCCTGGATAACTCCAGGTCTGTTACGCTGCATAAGGAACCGTGATAATCTGTTCAAAAAGCACAAAACATCCCCTAATGATGAAACAATTAAACTCACATATTCGAGATATAGAAACTACTGTAATGCTCTAATAAAAAAAGCAAAAATCAATTACAACAAAGATTTAGTCACAAAAGCTGGTAAAGATAACGGGAGGTTGTGGAAGGCAATTGGACAGATTTCAAACACTGTTAAAATGAAAGAACAATCGACTGAACTTCTCAAAGTTTCATCCACCCAAACAGAGTCAATAAATGCAGTGAATTCTTATTTTACAAGAGTGGGCGAAGAATTAGCAGAAAAAATTGCTTCTAATAAGCTCCCTAATCATGCAAAGGCTGTAAGACACATACCGACAAGAACGGCATCATTTGCAATGTTAAATACTGATGAAGATGAAGTCGAGCGTTTTATAATGAGTCTCAAGAACGTGTGCACTGATGGTTGGGACGGCATCTCCAATGTATTCATAAAACAATTTAGATCATTTCTCATCGCTCCTTTAACACATATCTTTAATCTTTCCCTCAACTCAGGAGTTTTCCCCTCTGCTTTTAAACACTCTATCGTTCATCCGATTTACAAATCTGGTGATAGAGACTGTGTCGGGAATTATCGGCCTATATCAATTCTCACTGCGTTCTCTAAGATCTTGGAAAAAATTATTAACTCTCGACTCGCTAACTATCTTGAATCGAACGGTCTGCTTTCTTATAATCAGTTTGGATTTCGACGTGGCAGATCTACCACCGAGGCTGTGCATGAGTTGACAGATTTTGTGGTTAAAAACTTAGACAAGGGTAACAAGGTGATAGGCCTTTTTCTAGATCTCGCGCGGGCCTTCGACACGGTCTCGGTACCAATCTTATTGAAAAAGTTAGAATCATATGGCTGTAGAGGTGTGCAATTAGATCTGTTGACAGACTATCTTTCTCATAGAACACAAAGTACCAAAATAGGGGATTATGTGAGTGACAAAGCTCAGATCAACTACGGAGTTCCTCAGGGCAGTATTCTGGGTCCTACACTTTTTTTGGTATATATTAATGACCTGTCTTCCTTGCAGATTCCATTTGCCCGTATTATATCTTACGCAGACGACACATGTCTTCTCTTTTCTGCTTCCACCTGGGAATTGACACAGGATGCTGCCCAACAGGGATTCAACTTAATTAATAGCTGGTTAAAAACTAACTTGTTAACCCTTAACACCGATAAAACGAAATATGTCAAGTTTTCCATGCGTAAATTGCCATTAGAAGAGAGACCCGCCAGAGCTATAATTTCACATGAATGCAACAATTTTGAAGAAATTAAATGCTCATGTAATAAATCAATAGAACTTGTCTCAAACATAAAATATCTTGGTGTAACGATAGACAGTAATTTGTCATTCAAAAATCACCTGCAATTGATGTCCGCCAGGTTGCGTAAACTTATTTACATTTTTAAAAATTTGCGATATGTGTTGGATAAGGAAGCATTAAAACGTATTTATTTTGCACTTGCAAGAAGCCTACTTACATATTGCATCACTTCTTGGGGAGGGGTTGCAAAGGGTACCCTAAAGCAAATAGAAGTTGCGCAAAGGGCTATTTTAAAAGTATGTGGATTCTTCCCCTTTAGATACTCCACCGAGCTTCTTTATCGCCACTGGCAAGTCTTAACAGTTCGTCAACTTTTTATTTTGGAGACTGTGCTAAAACAACACTCTGCAATTGCATATGAGGCAGGTAGTAGTATCGTTGGTGACAGACGAAGGAGCAGGAGTGTTTTTCCGACTTATGCAGTTAGAAAAGCTTTTACGAAAAGGTATTCTTGTTTTTTGGGTGGCTTTTTGTATAACAGCATAGATAGAAGACTACAAATATACACATGTAATACTTACGAATGCAAAGTAAAGGTGCACGAATGGTTGAGTGCCATGAATTATGACAGCACGGAGTCCCTCTTTGTAACTCAACAGTAGTGTATAAATAACTTAGGTTTAATAGACAAATAGCACTAAACTAAGTGATCGCTAAATTATTGAGGAAGAAGTAGAATAATAATATGGGTAATATGTATAAGCTATAAGTTATATTACAATATATGTCAATGTAGGATAATTTCTGTGGGGTGGGAGCCTGGCGACCTGTACTACAGGCCTTTAATGCCTACTTCAGGCACCAGCTTCTCACACTTCAAATACGCAGATTTTGCAATACTTAATGATGTCTGATGCTTAACCGACTGTATTTGTATAAATTACCTATAGTATTTTGTAAATTTCAGTGTGTGAGAAAAGAACAAATAAATATTATTATTATTATTATTATATGATTTTCATATCCTTAAATGGTCCTCGCATCAATTTCAGCCCCGGGTCCCACCATTTTTAAATCCGCTTCTGACTGATGGATTTTCAAAACACAGAGTGTTTAAAGTCCCATTAGGAATGCTTAGCCCTGAAATACAAAATAATAATAATATAAGCCCAGTTGCTACTCAGAATATCACTTTGTAACTGAACCATAAATTTAACTCCGAAACGTACACAATTCCCTACCTACTTAGCTGATATCTATAAACAAATGGTAAAGGTCTTCACACTCTGTGGCCATCTGTGTGGATGTACATGTTTGTAAAAGAATGAAACCTTTGTGTGTTTGGTGGCTGACTCCAGTCGCAATATCTGCGTGGGATTTCTATTAATTTGTTACAAATGATTCATCAAAAACAGTAGCTACACCCGAACTCTGCGTTACATTCAAAGTCGCTATAGCCAAATGAATTTTGTACTAAAGTATGCTTTGAATTCAAGGGACTTAGGTCCGCATTATAGAAAGACTCTCAGTGATTGATCTTGAGCATAGTTAGAAAGGGATGTCGCTATATATAGCACATAGCGACATCCCTTTCTAACTATACTCAAGTAAAGATCAACACTTAGTTGTCATTCTGTAATACGGGCCTTAGATTTAACGTCGCTATAGGTGAATGGCCGCTACAATGAAGGTCGTAATAAGTGAAATCCACTGTAATATATGGTTGTAAGGTCGCGGGCGTGGTGGGGCTGCAGTCGGTGGAGCGCGCGGTGTGGAACACTCGGTTCTCGGATGTGTACGCGCTCTGCGTCGCCCACCCCGAGCCCTTGGCCGACCGGCTGTATGACGAGACCAGGTGACGTATATACTATAGTCTATTTAAACCGCCCTAGTTATTTATAGTTCGACCGAAACTAAAGAAACCGTGAAGAATACGCACGGGGCCAAGTATGGTGCGTGCGGTCAAGGGCGGATCCAGAGGGGGGGGTCACGGGGGTCATGACTCCCCCTGGGCTGGGTCCATCTGTACCCACTTCACAATCTGTACCTACTGTGACTCGACCGCGACTATATGACCCCCCTGGCGCCAAAGCTGGATCCGCCCTTGCGTGCGGTAAAATGTTTTACCGCACACTCCGTTTGATGGCTCGTAATTTTGAACTGTCGAACAATGTGTGCGACCTCCATGAATGTATTTTTGAGCGAGTGTGTTGACAGAAATAATTGAATTTCACTTTACAAATAAATTTTAACAGGTTAGTAGCCGAGGACCAAGCACGAAATTTTGACAGGGCCATAAAGTCTCGTCATTGTCAAATTGTGTGTAAAAAGCTAGGTTATTCTTACGCTGGGGCACTGCTTTGTTTTCATAGAAACTTTGATGATGCGATACGTTATGGAGCTTTAAAAAATTCGTGCTTGTACCACTGATGTCCTCTCGCAACCATAAAAATTGGTATGGTTTAATGAAACCAAAATGAAACTTTTAGAATTACCTATACTTAGTTGGTTGATGTAACCCTGACTTATACAAACTGGAAGATAAAAATACTTCCTCGGCTGGGAACCGAACCCAGGCCGCCTGTGTGACAGACGAGCTTCCTGCCACTGAACCAGCGATACATGTTGACAGGGTCTGAATTTTTGAAGTGAAATTTCTTCGGTCGGGGTAAATGGAAAAATCCTCTGGAAAAGATGAAACGTAAGTGCGTCACGACCGTCACACGACTAAATATATATATATGTATGTGTGTGTGTGTGTGGGATGCGAGCTCAGCTCTTCCCGACGAGCATGAAAATTGGAGGGTCACTAGGCGAAGGCTGAAACGCTACGAGCGTCACACGCAACAATATATACAGGGTGATACACGGAGGGAAAGTATATTAAATATTGAAGATAGGATATTTTACTGAATCATTTTATTTTAATAATAAATAGTACTGCCTCCACAGTTTTTTTAAATCGCCTGCTACAACGGGGAATCAAACTCGTGAAATTTGAAAAAAAAAACACGACATATTTTATGATAAACAACTAATGCGATCATTTCAAATTATTTACTTACTTGTTCCTTATGATTTTATTTATTTTTAAAGCATTTAACTGCTAGATGTTTAAATCTAAAGAAAAGTTTACTAGAAAAAAATCCACGCGGACCAGGCAGCGGACGGGACTCGAACCCGCATCCTTCGCTATCCGGGCGAATGCACTGACCATTATGCTACCACGGCCCTATTAGCCGCGACGAAATTTTCCTAGCCTTAAGCTGCAAGGCAGCGCCATCTCTTCGCATTGTAGGTTACCCACCTATAACCTACACACACACACACACACGCATAGTCGTGCGGCGCTCGTGACATTCGTCTCTTCGTCTCTCGTCTCGTGGCATTTTCGTTTTCGTCTTTTCCATGTGATTTTTTCATTTTCACCCCGTCTCAGCGGGTTTCATTTGCATAACCTTTGTCAATTGTAACTTTTGTTAGGAACTTCTTAGAGGAGCACGTGTCGGGGTTACTGCAGCGCGTGCGCGGCGCCACGCCCCTCGAGAACAACGACCACAACGATGGATTACTGACCAGGTCAGTACCAAGTTAGCAAGTTCGGCTGCGATCCCTGAAGTTAAGCAACTTTCGCAGTGGTCGCTCATTGGATGGGTGACCGAAAATCTTCTATATCGAGTTCCTCCGTGTTTCGGAAGGCACGTTAAGCCGTTGGTCCCGGTTGCATCTGCAGTCGTTAGCACCCGCCAATCCGCACTGGGCCCGCGTGGTGGGTCACGACTCAATCTCCTTATTCCATCCATAGGGAAGGCTTGTGCCACAGCAGTGGGGGTCATTAATGCTGATGATGTATCGATTGGAAAATATTGATAATTACTGCTGCCATGGAACTAGTTTGACGTTGTGGAGTGACGATCGACACCATGTTGCGAGTGGTATACTCGTTTCCAAGGCATAGGCTTTTCAGATGTCCTGGATACGAATCCCGGTGGGTCAAATGTTGTGTGAAGTCGTGGCTGTTAACATATATTTCTAGAAAAAATATACTCATATATATCATAAATATGTATATATCCAATATGCACACAAAATTTCATGAGAATCGGGAAAGCCGTTTCTGAGGAGTTTAACCACAAACACCGCGACACGAGAATTTTATATATTAGATAAAACTCAAAGGTGACTGACTGACATAGTGATCTATCAACGCACAGCCCAAACCACTGGACGGATAGGGCTGAAATTTGGCATGCAGGTAGATGTTATGACGTAGGCAGCCGCTAAGAAAGGATCTTGATCAATTCTACCCCCAAGGGGATAAATAGGGAATGGAAGTTTGTATGAAACTTTGTCAATTTTAAACCGATCGGGCTGAGACTTTGCACGCAGGTATAAGAAGAATCAAAGATGAATGTCATTGTGTATAATACAAGCCTGAGAACAAAAACTGTAGTCTACACTTCAGCTCTACGCCGAAGCGAGGCGACGGCGGGCCGCTAGTTTATAATATAATCTAATATTGATATAATAATTAGTAAATGAAGCTAAATATGTTTAGATATGTGAGTGCTTGGCGCGAGTACAGCCAGGGCGTGGCCTATCTGAACAGCCTGTATTCATACCTCAACCTGCAGCACGTGAAGCGACAGAAGGTAATATTATGTTAAATAAATTTAATATACAGTGAGGAGCTCGATGGCGCGAGTGGCTAGCGCGTTCGGCTGCGATCGTTGAACTTAAGCAACTTTCGCAGTGGTCGGTCATTGGATGGGTGACCAAAAATTACTATCTCGAGCTCCTCCGTGCTTCGGAAGGCACGTTAAGCCGTTGGTCCCGGCTGCATCTGCAGTCGTTAGCACCCGCCAATCCGCACTGGGCCCGCGTGGTGGGTCATGGCCCACACTCCCTATTCCATCCATAGGGAAGGCCTGTGCCCCAGCAGTGGGTATTAATAGGCTGATAATGAATATACAGTGAATGCAGTTCTACTTATTATTAAAAATAAAATGATGTCTTCTTTCAGTAAAATATCCTATCTTTCAATATTTAATATACTTTCCCTCCGTGTGTTAGGTAAACTAATAAAATACGGTTTTCACGTTTTGACGTTTAATAGAATTGTAGATGACAATAAAAGTCAAAAAAATAACCAAATACATTAAAAGTAAAAGGTATAGAAACTGCCAGTTTCGGCAATAGTGACAATGCCCTGTATAATGGCGTCCATTCTGGCATGCTTCTCTGAACTTAACACAAAAGGACATTGGGCAAAAATGTATTGACGCTACACCCACGTCCGCCACGGCTTAAACTACATTTGTTTGAAAGGTATTATAGTCATGATCATCTGTGCCAAAGCGCATCAAATTCCATCCCGGGGGTCTTTAGTCATTTGAAGTTAAATAGGTGCAAATACTATAACGAACGAACATTAATGAAACAAGGGAGTTAATTTAGTTAGTTAGTTCGACCCTACATAGGGGGTCAGGTATTATGGGAGTACTTCATAAGGCGCAAGGGTTCCCCCTTATGTTATTCTGCCGAGCTAGAGTAAATCCAAAAATCCCCGCATGGGTTGGGGTTTTTTTCAATTATACTGTTCGTTATAGTAAATTGTCTTCTATGTAAAACGGAGCGACCACAATTCACACAAACTTGTACACGCTTCGGAGAAAACATGATTTCAGTTCATCCATACTAATTGACAAAACCGTCCGTAAAATGTCTAAAGCGTGTTAGATAAAAATCAATCAAGTGACAGGGAGCGCACAATCACAACGAAGTAAGACAATTTACGGTAGTTAGGGTCAAATAAATAAACTCAAAATTACAAAAAAGACTTTTAAATAAAATGGGTGCGTGTACTTATGTAGGCGCGTGAGAAGTTATCCTTCTTTGGCATCGTTTAAAATTAGTTTTTAATTGCATGCAAATAATTAATTACAATAAATTAATAAAAAGTCTGGAAAAGGACACAGTCAATAAAGTTCAGTTTTAATTTGAAAAAATAAATAATCAAAATATTCAATTAAAATCGCTACTGAATATAATTTATTAGAACATATGTGATTTGCACTTGTATGAAACTCAAACACGTATTCCGAATATACAAACTAGAAACATGTGGATAAATATTATAAATATGAATACCTATAACTGTTACTTTATTACAAAAAATAAAGATGTGGTTTTTGGTTCTACTACACCAATGGTCAAGAGATGGCGCTGTAGTCTCCTGAATCGCGCTTTGGTTCCGTTGTTCCAGATTAATAAATACTTTTGATATTATTAATATGAATACCTATGACTGTTACTTTATTACAAAAAATAAAGATGTGGTTTTTGGTTCTACTACACCAATGGTCAAGAGATGGCGCTGTAGTCTCCTGAATCGCGCTTTGGTTCCGTTGTTCCAGATTAATAAATACTTTTGATAGACCTTCACAATGCAGTCGTTAGCACCCACTAAATAGAGATTCTATTTCTATTTTGTTGGTAGATTTTCTTAATGTGCGGTAAACACAAAAGTAACAGCATGAAGTTGGTCGCTAAAGCGACCAACTTCATGCTGTTAATTTTTTGTGTTACAGTGATGCGCGCGCATCTTAAAATTTCACTCTCATAATTTTTTCATAACGCGCCTAAAGAAGTATAACTTCAATAAAATACTTTATTAAGTAAATTAAATAATAAATTCATACGTAGACAATAAAACTTAAAAATCGAACAAAGAAATAACCAAACGCGCAATAAAAGTCTTTCGAAGGTAGCTCGACAAATTAAATAAAAGTTTTATTCTGACGACGAAGCCTGTAAAGGCTACGAAACGTCAATAAATAAATAAAGTTTCGTGCATTAACCCGTAAAAACTAGTTTTATTTAATGAAGTAAGACAAGTTGACTATTTGCAACTGCAAGTCTTTCAAACCCCTGTAAATCATTTTGAAGTGGCTCAGTAGGTGCAAGCACAGGATGGTCGGCAGGCTTTGTCATATATCTACGTACGATATGGCATATTATTATGGTTACTAATAATATAAAATGAAGGTACTATAAAATTAATTTATTAAGCAACTTAAATATGCCCATCTGTCATATCTTTTAACTACCAGGATATTTTTTTACGGTGTCATAATAAAAAAGGCTAGCTTTTCATAGATCTATCGATTCATACTAATTACATTGTTGGCGGAGCTGAGTGTGTTTTGCCCATTTTCCTTTGACATCAGTTTCTTTCAGAAGGATACACTGTTGAATTTCTAAATTTAATATTAAGTTTTGAAAGATTATCTCTTTCCTATTCCCTAAAATGCATGATAAGGATAGATAGATTATTGTCAAATATAATTTGAGACATTCGATTTTCTCGTTCATACGTGTATATGTATGATGATTGAGATGGAGATGTATGTCTCAACGAAACCAAATTTGACGTCGATGAGAATTCAAATATGCCTTTAAACAGACAATCTCAATAGGGATGATGACTATTTTTTTTTCTTCGTTCATCAGGTAGATTATCAAAAAGTATTGGACACTTATTTTTTTTTTTTTCACATAATATAAACATTGCAGAGATATATTGATTTGAAAAGTCGCATGACGTCACGTTTGAGTACACTTTTAAGTGAAAATTCACTCAAAAGTGACGTCACGAGCCCCTCCTCCCAAACTTTGACGCGCTATAACTTTGTCATTTTTTGGTTGATTGCCCAAAGAAAAAATACGTATTTTTACCCGGCTGCGCAATGCAAGAGCGCGAAGCGCGACGCGCAGACAGGGTTATGTGTTTAACAGTCTATATATGTATGTTTGTTCCTTTGTGGCACACTAGAGACCAAACGCCTGGACCGATTTTGGTGATTCATACATCATTCGATTCGTCTCAATCATGGGAGTGCTACTAAAGATATGATAGTAATCAAAATTCAATATGGGCAATATTAGGCGCCATATTGTGACGAAGTAAAAAAAATTAGTTGACAAAATATGTCGAGTGGGGTATCACTGTCTAGATAATCAAAAATCATATTTACGTTCCTAACACCATTTTTCATTTAATATGATTGTTTAGGATCTACAACGCTTTAAAGTTGTATATTAACCACTTACGCTTTTAATTTCAATCTTACATTTGTATGAATCTTTGTTACTCTTTCACCTAAAAAATACTGAATGGATTTTAATGAAACTTAACAGTAATATAGCTCATATATGATAATTACATATATATAATAATTTATGTAGTTATTGAGTTAATTGGCCAATATATAACAATAAGTGTCACATAAGACGGAAAAAAATCTCCCATCTGCGAGCCATTTTGGCCTGCACTGCGAAAACAATAAAAGTTACATGAATGTAATGTAGAGTGAAAATGTATCTCTTAAATAGTTCAAAAAAAAGTCCGTGACACCATATATCTATTTTTAATGTGTAAGTCATTAGAGCTAAAATAGTGAATCAAAACTAAAATATTATTTGATATCTATTTCCAAAATGCACATTTTGCATTAACAAATCATTTTTTATCAAAACAAATACTTTTATCGCTTTTGATATTTAAAGACGATAAACTTTGCTTTTTACACTATGTCATTTCGACAAATATTTAAGAAGTTACAACGATGACAAGTGATAGCGCGGTGTACTATGTAAAAGAAAAAAAAGGGCTATTCGCAGTATCTGATCCTATACGAAGCACTAACAATAAAACTGTGATACAGTTCCTTCTTATTAAATAATGAAAAATATATTATCATAACAGGTATTTATGATTATTGAATTTTAATGAAAAACTCTGAATTTTACTGTTTTTCATTTTTTTAACGATATTACTTAATGTTACAAAAAAGGTTTACTTAATATAATGACAAATAACCCATTTCTCGCTAGTAAGTACATACTTATTGGAATCCCTATATTATTAATCAGCTCGCGATAATATTGGTTTTGTAATAATTCTACAAAATTCAAAGTAAATAATGTAGATTTCTATAGGTAAATCACCCCTTTCATTACCCTACGCCAATAAGTATTGCGATGTTGTAGCTAAGAACCAAGTTCCCATCTACTTCTATATGGGAATTCATTATATTCGATTTAGCTATTAGGGCACGGAAGCGCAACAAACAAACTCACTTTCACATCTATAATATTATATTATACTTACTAGTGATCCACCCGGGCATTGTACGGGCGAAATTTATTTATCGGGATGAAATATAGCCTATGTCACTCGGACAAAATGTATTTAAATAAAGAAAAATGTACTTATAAATAATGTAGCTACCTTATGATCAATTAATATTTGAAACCGGTTCAGTAGTTTGACAGATTATTTGTTACAAACATACAAATCTTGCCTCTTTATAATATTAGTATAGATAGTTAGGATATGATAAGTATTTAATTGATGAAAAAGATTTAAAAATAAAGTAAGTAATAGGTTTATTTGATTATATTTGTAAAAGTTACTTAGCATTTGTGCTTAACAGTGATACGTTATTCGGTATTTTTGTAACAAAAAAAAATTGGATAATAATTGCCATGATTGCCCTACTGGGAGTACTCTTCATTCAAGCTTTACACTACCAATAAAAAAGGGTCGATCACAAATCTTTGACCTGTTATATGTGAACGCTTTAAAAGAAAACTACAAAGAGAACTATAAATTGATAATAAATGAGATTGCTATGGTGCTCTACCTAACGTTATGAAAATTTTATTATGCGCCTTTAGTTTAATCAAATATTATAAACTTTGCTTTGGTGATTGCATAATTATTAAATTTAGTGATCTAAGGCAGTTGCCACCATTGTCCAAAACAACAAACGGGAATTACTGCTTTCTTCAACCTGCGACATAAACGTCATTCATTGGTATTGTATGTGATAGGGTGATTAAAAACATTTGAAGTTAACTTCTGGCATCTACATATTGGGTTTCTGTGAATTATGTAGGTATATCAAATTATGAGACTAGGGACTGACACTGCATTTGTGTATATCACAATCTTAGACGTCCGGCCTTGACATGACAATGCAGGCACTGCCAATTTTAAATAATCGTCGAATAAAAGTAAATGAATTTTATATTTACTGCTAAACTATAAAAAAAACATAAACAAAAGATGACTTTTTGAGTAAGTGCTAGTTTACTATAAAATTTACATACATTAGAGATATTTATGTAACGACTTGATTTAACTTCATATATTTTTGCGAAAATTGAGGCCCATCTGTAGCCTTGACCCCGCTAGTAAAGTCTCTATATGTCTTAATAAATCAATCTTTTAGACCGACGTACTTAATAATTCCCTTACTGAAGTAACAAGACTACGGTATAAACCGTCTTAAAATACTAACTAACTAAAAAGTGTGAAATAAAAAAGGTAAATTTAAAAAATCAAAAAACCCGACTTCTTAATTATACTTCAAATAAAAACTGAAAAGAAAAAAACAAGCCCAGTAGTCTATAATTCTGTTAATAAGGAACAAAGCTACTTTGACAGTCGGGACCTACTGTTGAAAAATATTATGTATTCTTGAATATCTAATGGGTCCCGACTGTTAAAGTAGCTTTGTTCCTTATTAACAGAATTATAGACTACTGGGCTTGTTTTTTTCTTTTCAGTTTTTATTTGAAGTATAATTAAGCAGTCGGGTTTTTTGATTTTTTAAATTTACCTTTTTTTTTGATCATCTAACTGACGGACTAAATAGAATTTCGTTTACTGTACCCCATCATCACCCCTATTGTATTTGTTCTGCAATTTTGGGAAGCGAATATAATTTATGTATTTCTTTGTTTTCCACTCAGGTTTCTGATGCAGAGATCATATACGGCTCAGCGGCCACAGTGAGCTGCCCAGAACACGATTCCAGGCAATTGGAAGTGAGTATATATCTATCCATTGCATAAGCCAGAGCTAAACATTTAATTTAAGTAAGGAACAAAGCTAATTTAACAGTCGGGACCCATTATTAAAAAAAATGGTCCATTCCTGAATATGTAATGGGTCTCGACTGTTAAAGTAGCTTTGTTCCTTACTTAACAGAATAATAGACTACTGGACTTGGTTATTTTTCTTTATAGTTTTTATTTGAAGTAATATTTAAGCAGTTTTTTTTTGATATTTTAAATTTACCTTTTTTGTGTTATTGAAAACATGTGACCATATGTAAATGTCGTTACTTCTGTTAAATGCTGATAGGTTTTTTGCGTCCATTCTTCTCATCAGCTAAAAGATGTCCTGAATGGGTGGTTGGAAAAGATATTGGACGATTTAAAAGAGCTTTTAATAAGCACAATTTAATTTAATATTTAATTCATAAAATGAGTTTTTCTTTATTGTTCGACTCTACAGTTCCGGACATATCTATCGGTCCATTTAATGTTATGCCAACTGTCTGTATCAAAATTATATGTAAGATTGAACGTTAATGATATATTTTGGAAGCGAAATATCTTTTCGGATGGGGTGTAAATGGAAAAATTTAAACGGAAATGCGTCACACTACTACTACTATGTGTGTGTGTGTGTGTGTGTGGGATGCGTGCGCAGCTTTTCCCGACGAGCATGAAAGTTGGAAGGTAACTCGGTGAAGGCTGAAACGCTACGAGTGTTATACGCGATAATATATATATTATCGCGTATAACACTCGTAGCCTTTCAGCCTATATATATATATATGAGAGATTACTGCGCTGCTCCATTCTCTTATGCTTTATGCACCGCCTAATGTTGGGTTATTTAAGAAAAGAAATTTCACTTCAGATGGTGGCTCCTTGCACATTATTTTTTGCGCTATCTGGCCGCATAGCGTCCGCGCTATTCTATTCATAGGTTCAGGCCTGTGCCCCAGCAGTGGGGATATTAATAGGCCGATGATGAATGAATGAATGATCACTTTATTGTACACCATGATATTTTAAATTACAATTAATTAAAACTATTACATAATAGTACAAACGGCGGCCTTATCGCTTAGAAGCAATTTCTTCCAGGCAACCGTATGTTAACTGGACTGTTACATAAAGAGTGGGAAGTGGATGGTGTCATTCAAAGTGCAACTACCATTAATAACACTCATAAATAATTATGTACAACAAAAAATAGAATAAAATACAAATAAATAAACATAATACATCTATTTATAAAGACACTAACACTTCAATCATATTTTGGATGATGTGACGACCTGCTAAAATGTCAAGTAATGTTCTTTTAACATTCTTTTAAAACAAGCTAACGTTTCAGCACCTCTGATCGGTTCTGGCAAGGCATTCCACAAACGAGCGATGATGATGATGATATGAACGTTTCGGTCGTGGTCCCCGGCAGGTAGGCGAGCTAGGTCTCGTGATATGGGAGCGCGTATTGATTCGTCCCTTGTGGGCCGCGCTCTCCGGCCGCATCGTGTCCGCGCTGTCGGCCGCCCGCGAGCGGGGCCCCGACCCCGCGCATGCTGACGTGCTGCGGCAGGCCATACACAGCGCCGTGCACGTGAGTATGGAAGCCTACATCGCGCAAACCAAATTCAAACGCTAACTCTATATATATACAGTGTCTAAACAATATCAGTTGCATACACACACTTAATGAGTTAAATACACACAGACAGACATTCGTACACACATGATTAGTGGACAAACTACTTATTAGTAACTTACAAACAGAGATATAGAGAAATACACATAAATAAAGAGATATATATATATATAGTGTCCGTGCTTATCAGTCACCAGTGAATGAATCTTAACCCCGCGCATGTCGACGTGCTGAGGCAGGCCATACACAGCGCCGTGCACGTGAGTATGGAAGCCTACATCGCGCAAGCCAAATTCAAACGCTAACATATATATACAGTGTCTGACCAATATCAGTTGCATACAAACACTTTATGAGTTAAATACACACAGACATTCGTACACGTGATGAGTAGACAATACTAGTGCTATGACCTGTTATACTGAAAAAGACTACTACACTCTGAAATACAGAAAAACACCTTCATACACACATGATTAATGGACAAACTATTAGTAACTTACAAACGGAGATATAGACAGACACACATAAATAAAATGACATATATAGTGTCTGTGCTATCAGTCACCAGTGAATGAATCCTGACCCCGCGCATGTCGACGTGCTGCGGCAGGCCATACACAGCGCCGTACACGTGAGTCATACATACACACAAACACATATGAACACATGAAATATACAGACAAATGACACACACAAACACAGATACACAGAAATATATATACATATCAAACACGTCAAATATACAGATCAAAAGATACAATGTCAAAGACGGATAGACGGACATATGCATACATACGAACACATTAAATATACAGACAAAAAAATACACACACAAAGACAGATAAACACACAGAGTGAGACAAAGATTCGACACGGACGCGATTTATAAACACCCTACTGTTATACATAACCTATAACATAGAAAAAAAACTGTTGCAATTTAAAATACAGACAGACACTCATACAGACAGATTTATGAACAAAACTAATGCTATATAACCTGTAGTATTGAAATAAGACTGCTACGTGATAAGTGAACAAACCAGCGCTAACATACAGACAGACATAGACATACATTCATATATATAGTATCCCAACCCCGCGCATGCTGACGTGCTGCGGCAGGCCATACACAGCGCCGTGCACGTGAGTATGGAAGCCTACATCGCGCAAACGAAATTCAAACGCTTACTCTATATATATACAGTGTCTGACCAATTTCAGTTGCATACAAACACTTTATGAGTTAAATACACACAGACAGACATTCGTACGCGTGATGAGTAGACAATACTAGTGCTATGACCTGTTATACTGAAAAAAGACTGCTACACTCTGAAATACAGAGAAACACATTCATAAACACATGACTAATGGACAAACTATTAGTAACTTACAAACAGAGATATAGACAGACACACATAAATAAAGAGACATATATAGTATCCGCGCTGTCGGCCGCCCGCGCACGCTGACGTGCTGCGGCAGGCCATACACAGCGCCGTACACGTGAGTATGGAAGCCTACATCGCGCAAACGAAATTCAAACGCTTACTCTATATATATACAGTGTCTGACCAATATCAGTTGCATACAAACACATTAATGAGTTAAATACACAAAGACAGATAGACATACACATATATACATATCAAACACGTCAAATATACAGATCAAAAGATACACTGTCAAAGACAGATAAACAGACATATGCATCCATACAAACACATCAAATATACACACAAAATGACACACACACACAAAGACAGATAGACAGACATATAGTTACATACAAACACATCAAATATACAGACAAAAAGATTCACAGACAAAGACAGATAGACACACAGAGTAAGGCAAAGACTCAACACAGACACGATTTATAAACACCCTAATGTTTTACATAACCTATATTATAGAACACTGTTGCAATCTTAAATGCAGACAGACACTCATGCAGACAGATTTATAAACAAAACTAGTACTATAATCAGATTGCTACGATATTTAATGAATGAAACAAACTCGTGCAAAAATAATTAGTAGACAAAGTAACGCTAAAATAGACATACAGACTTATATATTGTCCCGACCTCGCGCATGCTGACGTGCTGAGACAGGCCATACATGGTGCCGTACACGCGAGTATGAAACCCTACATCGCGCAAGCGAAATTCAAACGCTAACTCTATATATATACAATGTACGACCAATATCAGATACATACAAAAACTCATACAAATATACAAACACATGACTCACACACGTAATGAGTTAAATACACACAGACAGACAATCGTACACGTGATTAATGGGCAAAACTAAATTCAAAATTCAATATCGTTTATTCAGTCTAGGCTGTTACAAGCACTTGTGAATATCGAAAAGCTACGCCATCGGTTCGCAAATCTACGGCGGGAGACCTTGTACTGAGAAAAACCGGCAAGAAACTCAGCAAGGGCTGCTTTTTTCTCCCTGTTTTATTTCATACAGTGTCGTCCAATTGAAAGTTGACATCAAACTTGCAAACATGTGTCGAGGTCAACTTCCATGGAGTGAGTGGACAAAACTATTGTTATAACCTATAATACTGAAAAAAGACTGCTACACTTTAAAATACAGAGAAACACATTCATACATACATGATTAGTGGACAAACTAGTGCTAACATACAGATAGATATATAGACGCACATACATATAGAGTAGAGACACATATAGCGTCCGCGGTATCAGTCACCAGGGAACGAAAACCGATCCCGCACATGCCGACGTGCTGAGGCAGGCCATACGCTATGCGTGTGTGAGTTCAACATACACGCAACACACAGCAAATATGCAGATAAAATGACACACAGACAAAGACAGAAAGACACACAGACGCAGACGGAAAGACACACAAACAAAGACGGATAGGACACATAACACAGACAGAAAAGTGGTGCATACAGACAGATACAAACGCACTCAAATGATTTAAATACACATGTCCGAAGCACAGAAGAGCTTGAGATAATAAATTTTTAGTTATCCATCCATTGACCTGCCATTGCGAAAGATGCTTTCACGATTGCAGCTCAAATGCGATAATTCTATATTATTAATGCTTATTACAAAATAAATTATTACTATTTATTTAAACATCACATCACATCTCATATAATTTTCCATACAGATAGTGGAAGACGCAGGTTCGAATCCGGATTGATGTGATGTCTGACTGATCTGAGTGGATTTTTTTCTAGTAAAATATTTCTTTAAACTTCGATATATGACACTATATGTTATATATGTATATATATCATCTCCTCAGGTACAATCGTTCCGCGTCCGTCAGCCGCTCGCGTTATACCAGTCGCTGGTATTGGAGCCCTACCTGTCCTCGGCGTCGGAGCACCCGCGATATATGACACTATATGTTATATATGTATATATATCATCTCCTCAGGTACAATCGTTCCGCGTCCGTCAGCCGCTCGCGTTATACCAGTCGCTGGTATTGGAGCCCTACCTGTCCTCGGCGTCGGAGCACCCGCGATATATGACACTATATGTTATATATGTATATATATCATCTCCTCAGGTACAATCGTTCCGCGTCCGTCAGCCCCTCGCGTTATACCAGTCGCTGGTATTGGAGCCCTACCTGTCCTCGGCGTCGGAGCACCCGCGATATATGACACTATATGTTATATATGTATATATATCATCTCCTCAGGTACAATCGTTCCGCGTCCGTCAGCCCCTCGCGTTATACCAGTCGCTGGTATTGGAGCCCTACCTGTCCTCGGCGTCGGAGCACCCGCGATATATGACACTATATGTTATATATGTATATATATCATCTCCTCAGGTACAATCGTTCCGCGTCCGTCAGCCCCTCGCGTTATACCAGTCGCTGGTATTGGAGCCCTACCTGTCCTCGGCGTCGGAGCACCCGCGATATATGACACTATATGTTATATATGTATATATATCATCTCCTCAGGTACAATCGTTCCGCGTCCGTCAGCCCCTCGCGTTATACCAGTCGCTGGTATTGGAGCCCTACCTGTCCTCGGCGTCGGAGCACCACGCGAGACACGCGGCCTCACTGCTAGCGGACGGAGATATATCGCATTATATGCGGCACGTGTTGGATGGTACGTATCATTATATCTATTTATGCAAAACGTATTAGAAATACGGACAGTCCTCGACTTACGTCGTTTCGATTTACGTCGCTCGTCTCAAGTTACGTCGAACAATGTTTTGACACTATTCCACAAGTACATGTCAATGAGGGCTATCGCGTAAGAATCCGCCGCTAGAGGCGCTAGTGTAGCGTGAGGTCTCCGAAATGTCAAATGTTATTGCTTGTTGGTTGACTACGCGGGTTTATATCTTATTAAAATAATGTTGTGAATAATTGGTAACAATTCGGCTTAATTATGGCAAATATGAGTTATGTGGCAATGAATGTCAGTTATTAAAAATTTGAGCTTAGGAAAATGATTATGTTCCCATTTTTTCCGAATAAAACGGAACTGGGCGTCACTGTGGCATGGCCTATTATGTTTAGGATATGGTTCTTTTGTGTTAAAATAAGATCTAAATGTAACCTTTGATTTCATGTGCGTATTAATAAACTTTAAAAGTTACAATTTAGGACCTCACTCAACAGTGGCGCCATCTGGTTTGACAGAAAACGGTAGCCCTCATTGTTTCGATTTCCGGCATAGGCGAATTTCCGGCGCTTGGGGGCCATTCGCCTAACGGAAATGCTTTGGAAAACGCTAACGCTTTCGATTTAATTTTAACTGATTATTACCAGCTATCCGTCTTGTGGGGCCATTCGCCTAACGGAAATGCTTTGGAAAACGTAAACGCTTTCGATTTAATTTTGTTATTTCTGACCGCCGAAGGTTTTCAAATACCTCACGCTCATTTTTTTTAATATTGTTATTACTAATGCAAAAGAAAAAAAAGAGCGCGAGGCATTTGAAAACTTCAGACGGCTAGATATACTCGTAACAAAATGAAATCGTAAGCGTTAGCGTTTTCCAAAGCATTTCCGATAGACGAATGACCCCCTGGTTTTACATGGGTGAACTGTATTTCAACGCTATACGATATTAACTTCACTAGTGAAAAATGTTGATTACAATGTTGAAATAATATTTGAAATTGATAACAAACATACAGTGGCGGACTAAGCTCGTCAGAGGCCCGGGGCGGCAAAATGAGGCCCCCCCAGCTTTAAAAAAAAATGTAGTTTCTTAGTTTGTTTCGTTAAAATCTGGCGAGTGAAATTTAAATTCCAATTAAATTATTTCGGCTAAATAAACATACATACCTACAATATGGTACATATTGACTAGAATCGTAGGTGCATATTGACTAGAACTACTATTACACTTTTTAATGAGGTTACTTTAAACAGATTTTAAATAAGGCCAATGTTTATTTTTCGACATAAATATAGTGAATGTTATTAAATGTAGGCGTACAAGAGTGACTTATTTGTACTTCATTCATTCAGGGGTAGCTGAGGAAGTACCCGCTATAGAGACGGGAATTCCCCCAGCGTATTGGACGCGTTCAGCGAAGTTAAAAGAATATTAGTACCGCGTAAAAAGTCTAGATGGCTGAAGTGTTTTGATCTTGATGAAATTATGTAGGTACTAAGCACATTTTTAAAGTCTAGTTTAGGATGCGATCAGGGGAACGCGGAGGCATTTGGGGCCCCCCCAAGGTCGGAGGCCCCTTCCGCCCCCCCTGTTAGTCCGCCACTGCAAACATACAATTTTTATTCTTTTTATTATAATTTTAGAATAGACTAGCGGACGCAAAAGACGACGTAGTCCTGATGTTAATGTGATTCGATTAAAATTAAATAAAGTCCTATAACCCGATTTCAGCGCCATCTATCGGGTAAAGTTGTAGGTTAATGTATTTCTGTGCATCTCACTTATAAATATCTATTTTATTTAGCTAATAATTAGCTAAAATTGATGTTAGTAAGTACAGTGAAAATTCTATATAATGACATTAAAGGGACTGTACATTTTATGGTGTTATAGAGAGTTATCGTTAAATGGAAAGAAGAAAAATCAGAATTATGAAAAGTAAAAGTTTATTTTAAGCTAGTAGTTATGTACATAAAAAAAAATGGGTGCGTGTACTTATGTAGGCGCGTGAGAAGTTATCCTTCTTTGGCATCGTTTAAAATTAGTTTTTAATTGCATGCAAATAATTAATTACAATAAATTAATAAAAAGTCTGGAAAAGGACACAGTCAATAAAGTTCAGTTTTAATTTGAAAAAATAAATAAATAATCAAAATATTCAATTAAAATCGCTACTGAATATAATTTATTAGAACATATGTGATTTGCACTTGTATGAAACTCAAACACGTATTCCGAATATACAAACTAGAAACATGTGGATAAATATTATAAACTAGCGGCCCGCCCTCGCTTCGCTTCGGTGTAGAGCTGAAGTGTAGACTACAGTTTTTGTTCTCAGGCTTGTATTATAGACAATGACATTCATCTATGATTCTTCTTATACCTGCATGCAAAGTCTCAGCCCGATCGGTTTAAAATTGATAAAGTTTCATACAAACTTTCATTCCTTATTTTATCCCCTTGGGATTTTCTTTATATTTTTTTCCGTAAGAACCTTGTACAGAGTATTAGAAAACTTCAAAAAAAAAACAGCCAAATCGGTCAAGCCGTTTTCATGTTATGTCGTGACAACGGAAAACGGGTTTCATTTTTATATATATAGATATGAAAACAGTCTCTGTTCTAAATTCAAAACTCGTAACTTTTCCCGATGTTTGTTGCACGTGTTTCCCGCGCTAGGACCGCGAGTGGCCGCGCATGCGTACGGTGCGGCGGGCGACGCGGTAATGGCAGCGCGGCACATGGTGTTAATTTTTTGTGTTACAGATGCGCGCGCATCTTAAAATTTCACTCTCATAATTTTTTTATAACGCGCCTAAAGAAGTATAACTTCAAAAATTGTGTGTGTCAGCTCCGACGCACGCTGGAGTTTACTCCTTAAATTCGATAGTCTAACCAGACGCAAAAAGAGTTTATTTAACTTAAAAAAGATTGATACATTAAATGCTATATCAACGTTTACTTGTAAAGCTCAATGATTTTGTGTTCAACGAAAGGCGCGGTGGTACACCGACGCGGTTTCTTTGTCGTCGTAGGCAATAAAGGTACGCTACGATACTGTGCTACGGTGTAGCACTACGGCTGCTACAGCATAGACAGTAAAAACGTAACGAGGTCATTCATCGATAGATTTCACTCCTCACATTTTTCTCATACCGGGCCCCTTATATGTGCAAATCGATTCTTAAGGAGTAAACTCCAAAAAAATAATCTCATAATAATCTCTAAAAAAATTTCATAAAAATCTGTCAGGCCGTTTCGGAGGAGGATGGTAACTAACATTGTGACACGAGAATAGGGTATTTGACAAGTTTTAGAAAACGATCTCACGTTATTGACTAATGTTTATGTATGACTGTTGTGTATTTCAGTAAAAATAACCAAATCAAAAACTCCATTTTCAAGTTGCCGCGAAAACGTTTCTGTGGACAATATGGCGTCTTACTAGCGTGTGACGTCACACGACTGTTATTAAAACGTCAAACGATACAATGTAATGTCACTTTAACCGGAAGTTTACTTGCGTGTGATGTCATTTTAGACTCCTCCAATCCCAAGCGTTTTCGGTCACGTGACAATAGATAAGAAAACTATCATCTTCTTCGTTGGTTTTTAATAAAATTATGAATCTTTTTTTTTGTTAAAATAGTAAAAACCCCTGCCAATATTCATTCTAAACACAGATGCTAACAATTGGAACTTTATTTTTAACTAGTGGCCCGCCCTCGCTTCGCTTCGGTGTAGAACTGTAGTGTAAACTATAGTTTTTGTTCTCAGACTTGTGCTATAAACAATGACTTTATTTATATAATTACACGTGTTATTGTGAGTCAACCATAAAAGATAGACATATGCTGTTGCGGGATAGTTTTTAGACAATTTTATGTAGAATATTTCCGTCATACATGATTTTTATGTAACTTTAACCATTAAGGCTGCACACGCGACGGAAGCTTAAAAAATGGAGTAACTACTCCCGTTTTCCCAACATTTCCCTTCACTACTCTGCTGTTATTGATTGTAGCGTGATGAAAAGTATACTATAACCTGCCCAGGAGTATGAAGAATAATTGTACCAAGTTTCGTTAAAATCTGTCGAGTAGTTTTTGTTTCTATAAGGAACATACACACAGACAGACAAAAATTTTACTGATTGCATTTTTGGCAGCAGTATCGTTCACAAATCACCCCCTGATAGTTATTTTGAAAATATATTTCATGTACAGAATCGACCTCTCTACAGATTTATTATAAGTATAGATATAGATACTGTCAGATACCCTATCTCTCATCTAATAGACGAGTCCGTCCGTCCGTTATGCTGTTTCAGCGGCCAAACCGTAAGAGATAGATAAAGAGAATATTCAAGTCATAAGTTAAGAATAGTGCGATAAGACTACAAACCGGATTCGAGTAACGTAGCACTTTCGGTTTTCGAGAAATCACGAATTTCAAACGAAACCACACAAAATCTCCGAAGTTCTCAATTAATTAAATACATTTTTTTTAAATCAGGTTTTGGTGAACATTTGGTTGACCGGTTTGCTAGTTTTATATATCAGATGACATATCCGTAGGTCTGGAGCGCGAGATCGCGCTAGGAAACCGGTTCCTCCACAGCTCCTCCGGTGAGTCGGTCCGCAGCTGCTTCGAGCGCGCCGCCGTCAGCGCCCACCTGCCGGCGCTTCACGCGCACACCGACCGGCTCCTCAACGAGGCCGCGGACACCGCGCCTAATGCCGAACAGGTCAGCGCGCGACAACAACATAAATAAGAGTTTTTGGCGGGATTTCATCGAGTGCACTTGGCGTCTTATTTTAATTATTCTTAAATTCGTTCATAGTGGATATTGTGAAATAAAATTGGTGTGGTTTTGTGTAACGACCGTCTGCGTAACTGAAGAATTAGTGGAATCGTTAAAATATACGCTATTCCGGTCAAGTGGACGTGAGAATTTTATTGTAGTGTTGACTACCTCACAGAAGCTTATCGAAAAAGCCAACTCGATACATTTCGTGCCAAACACTCCGAGAAACATTAGAATGCGTCACACTGACATTGTAATGTAAAAACAAAAAGAAGATTAATTTTATTAAAGACCAGGCTGTATGGGCATTGTTCCCTTTGCCTTCCCTAAAACGGGAGAACTTCAACAAAAAAAAACAACATAAATAAACAAACATTGTTTTAAACTTTCATGCTCACTGACATTATATCATCATCATCATCAGCCTATTAATGTCCCCACTGCTGGGGCACAGGCCTGAACCTATGGATGGAATAGAGAGTGCGGGCCGTGACCCCCCACGCGGGCCCAGTGCGGATTGGTGGGTGCTAACGACTGCAGATGCAGCCGGAACCGACGGCTTAACGTGCCTGCCGAAGCACAGAGTAACTCAAAATAGTAAATTTTTGGTCACCCATCCAATGACCGACCACTGCGAAAGTTGCTTAATTGCAACGATCGCAGCTGATCGCGCTAACCACTTGCGCCATCGAGCTCCTTCAGAGTCCTGTCAGAGTGATACTTCTGACATTATATAATGCAATTCAACTAAGAATAGGACCGCCTGGGCGCCATATTGTGATATCATAGCTGTCAATTCGAACCAAATGGGTAGAGTGAGCAAAAAAAAAGTTTTTATTTAATAAAACTTATTTACTAAGTTTAAGCGAGAAAAAACATCAGATTTTTTGATAACATTGCTTTACTAAAATTGAGAAATAAAAACCACCGATTTTCAATAATAATTATTTATTAAAACTGTGAGAAAAAATATTAATCAGAATCTAGCTCTTCTATTCCGCCTAATGCCGAACAGGTCAGCGATTACAACTAATAAATAAAACAACATTGTTTTAAATTTTCATGGTCACTAACATTATAGTAATATAAATTATTTACAAAATTGTTACTGGTGAAATGGAATGCGGTAAAACATATCTGGTGGGGTCGAAACCCCGGAGAGTGGACTGTAGGTGTTGGTTCCAAATATTAAGGGGGTCTATGGGATAGGATGAGGACGAAACACTCTGCTTACGGAGGACTTCGACGGTGGCGCTGGCTCAAACGTCAGCTTCTCTTGCAGCAGTCTCTTCCTGATGCCAGCGGTTAAAGATGGCGGTCGAGAAAGTCGTCGTTGATAGCTATCACAAATCACACACAAAACCTCCTATTTACGAGAAAATCTGTTCGTTTCATTAAGATTTTTGAAGTTATACTTCTTTAGCCGCGTTATGAAAAAATGATGAGAGTGAAATTTTAAGATGCGCGCGCATCACTGTAACACAAAAGTAACATAATGAAGTTAGCCACGGGCGCGTTATGAAAAAATGATGAGAGTGAAATTTTAAGATGCGCGCGCAACACTGTAACAGAAAAGTAACACCATGAAGTCGGCCGCTAAACCGCACATTACTCGTAAGTCTCGAAAAAAAGCTTCCAAGAAAATAGTAATAGGATCTCTTAGTCGCACATGTTGAGACGCTCGTCGCCTCTGATCACTGTTTTCATATTTATAATATTTATCCACATGTTTCTAGTTTCTATATTCTTAACACGTGTTATAATGTTATACATATGCGAAATTTATATGTGCTAATAAATTTTATTCAGTAGTGATTAAAACTGAATATTTTGATTATTTATTAAAATTTTCAAATTAAAACTGAACTTTATTGACTGCGTTGACTATCCTTTTCCAATCCTTTTATTATCTTATTGTAATTAATTATCTGCATGCAATTAAAAACTATTTTTTAATAATTCCAAAAAGAAGTATAACTTCTCACGCGCGTACTTAAGTACACGCACCCATATTTTTTTATTAATCTTCACACACTTCTTTAACTGAGTTTAATAAAAAATATAATCACAATTTTTGCGGAGCAATGAAAGATTCGACCATTTCGTATTTTCGCGGTGACAGAACTGTCTTTTTCTTGTTGATGCGGTGACAGCCTTCTGACAGAGCCGTTTCCTTCCGGCCATCCGTCGTTGCAGGCAAATATATTGCATCTGCTTCCCTCATAAGCATAAGGCACAGTGTTTGAAGGAGAAGGATCTATTGGGATGCGGAAAGAGAATGACACGGTATGGAATTTAGAGATTAGAATATGTTTTAGCGTTACCGGTTACCATGTGACGATACACAGAAGTCAGCCATCGCGGAGCATTTGATTGATTCTGGTCCTAACCACTGGATTGAGTTTCATAACCGACAGATTATTTCGACAGAACGCCACTACATACCAAGATTGGTCAGGGAAGCGATTGAGATAACAAAACATAAAAATTTCAATCGTGAGGACGAGTTTAAATTGTCGAGTGTCTGGAATCCTGTGGTTCGTATGTGTAAAACCGGAAATAATCAAAAAAGTGTCGGGTCGCGATCCGATACTGTATGTGTTGCGTGTCGAGAACAGTTTCGAGTGAATAGTGAGAATGTGAACAATGGTACGGGTATCGAACGCAATAAAAGACTTCGTCGGAGGGTAGACCGATATGTCTGCCAATAACATCTACCCGCAATTACTTCAGTTACTCCGTGATCATGGCGCTTGCAACAGTGCCGAAATATTGGAAACTCGCTAAAAACAAGGTACATGGTAACAATCCCGTAAATAACTTATATTACTATAAATAAACATTACCAACACACACCAATTTGTTTCTTAAAAACAGTAATGTTCACACACTTAATACAAGAAACAAAAATAAACTAACTTTACCTGCTACTAGGCTTCACAAAATCAATAATTCATTTAAAGGTCTCTGTGTTCGCTTATACAATAAAGTCCCAAGCAATATCCAAGAGTTAACTATAAATAAATTCAAAGATAGTATAAAAAAGCACTTATTAAAAAAGCTTATTACAAAGTGTCTGATTATTATTATTACAGACTAAAACGCTTGGGTTTGAACTGTTCCAATCATTCCAACAGGTTTTCTATATTAAATAAATTATATTGTATTGACGTTGTAACAACATAATGATTTGTAAATGTTGTTACGTTATGCTTTTAAGGTTGTGGAGATTTTTTCGCTCGTTTTTCTCCGCAGCTAAAAAATATGTCCAATAACGAGTGGTAGGGAAAGAAATGTTTGGACGATTCAAAAGTGTTGTACTATACATCCAATTTGAATAAAGATATATTGATTTCTGATTAAACTAGCCCCAAAGTAAATCAAATTACATAATCTTTATTTGCGAACACAGATTACAAATTTGTTACACAGATACATTTTAGTACAATACAGCCATATTCTGCCTTATCGGCATGCAAAATATAATACTTCTACAAATCATTAATTATTTCAATGTCAAACCCCAAAGTAAGCACTGTAGGCTTGTGTTATGGGATACTAAGATACTCGTAACGGATAGAATACATATATACTGATACATATATAAGTATATCTATATAGAAATACATATTAAACATCCATGACTGAAGTACAAATGCTCGTATTAATCACACAAACATCTGCCCCCACCGGGATTCAAACCCGGGACCTGTCGAGTAGGCAGGCACCTTGAACCCCGGCATATAAACCACTCGGCCACGGAGGTCGTCAAAATACTTAATGGTGTCAATTCTGGCATGATTCTCTCAACTTAAAATTAAATTTAACATCAGTCTTTCCTTTTCATTCTGTGTAGAGAATGACAAAGATACACTGTTGTCAAATTTAAGTTTAGCTTTAGAGAATCATGCCAGAATCGACACCATTGACTTACTAATTTTCAACTTTTGTTATTCACTTTCGTTACATCATTCGTTTATATAATTATCCCCAGTTTTTAAAGGTTATTCAACGCCAAAAACAACTTTAGAAAGACGCCTTTAAATCTAATGTTAACAGTTAATTCAATTGCTTCAAGCCTAGTCGAATAACCGTCCTGTTAATTGACATAAGCTGTCAAAGTTTTTTTTCAATACAGACAAAACAGTGACATTTTTCGCAAAATGATAACGAAAAACGTAACGAAAATGAAAGTTATAATAAGATTATACGATTCAGCGTGGAATTTATGCTTTTGGTTTCAGAAGGAATGTATTTTATTTAATTGTTGACACAAAATACGCACATAATTTCTTTTGTAATTACAACGGCGTAAGATTAGTAATTTTTTTGGTAATCTTCTTAATAGTAAAATGGTGAATAATGATTAGACAAACATTTCAGACACCGAAGGTTACTCTTTAAACAATACTACAAAAAAAAACATTATTCGGGGTGAAAAAGTATCATTTCTGTATCAATTTAGGTAGTAAACTTTAGTGTATCAAAGGAGACCTTGGATCTTTGCCCAGTTGTGTACATTGGTAACAAATTATCTTAAAAAACATCTAAAATTATACTGGAAAAGAGACGCTCATAAAAATCTCAAATAAATTTAATAAAATCCCTGGAAATGTGAATTGAAATAGAAAATCTGCGTATAAAGAAACGTTATTACTTAGACGCAATTTGTCATTGACTGACAGATGACAGCTTATATTATTGGTTTAAATGAAATGGTTTTCCTGACCTAACCCAACCATAAACAGCCTTTGCTGAGTTTCTTGCCGGTTCTTCTCAGTACAATCTCTCCCGCCGTAGATTTATGAACCGATGGTGGAGCTTCTAGACATTCATATGTGCTTGTAACAGCCTAAATTGAATAAATAATTTTGATTATTAATTATTATTATTGATTATCCATAATTACATAATAGGGAGAAAATTATAGCTATAGCTGAAATTTTAGATGGCTTTTCTCAGTACAAGGTCTCTCGCGTAGATTTGCCCCCACAGAGATTTTTTTACATTTGTCCTCCAAAACAGATACGTGCCCTTCAGAAGAAGTAGCAAACCAGCTACTTCTTCTGAAGGGCACGTATCTGTGTGCTTGTAACAGCCATTGTCATGTCGAGAAAAACTTATTACATTTTTTTCATTCATTGAGCATAATAATAAATTGTCGTGTGAATGTTTATTATGTCGCTGATCAGATAAATTTAGTGAAGTTCTCATCTTTATCGATTTTTCCATTGACCGGTAGCGTCGCGACGACCTACGTCGCATGTACGCACTACTACGTCCCCTGGGCGCGTCCGCTCTCAGGCCGCTCGTGGACGCCGCCCTCGACCAGGCCGTGCGAGACGGGAAGGCGCTGCTCCTGACGCCCCACAACAGGGACGAGGTATGTATCATTATACGGACCAGCTACAGGGCGCTGGTGCTGGTAGACGCCGCCCTCGACCAGGCCGTGCGAGACGGGAAGGCGCTGCTCCTGACGCCCCACAACAGGGACGAGGTATGTATCATTATACGGACCAGCTACAGGGCGCTGGTGCTGGTAGACGCCGCCCTCGACCAGGCCGTGCGAGACGGGAAGGCGCTGCTCCTGACGCCCCACAACAGGGACGAGGTATGTATCATTATACGGACCAGCTACAGGGCGCTGGTGCTGGTAGACGCCGCCCTCGACCAGGCCGTGCGAGACGGGAAGGCGCTGCTCCTGACGCCCCACAACAGGGACGAGGTATGTATCATTATACGGACCAGCTACAGGGCGCTGGTGCTGGTAGACGCCGCCCTCGACCAGGCCGTGCGAGACGGGAAGGCGCTGCTCCTGACGCCCCACAACAGGGACGAGGTATGTATCATTATACGGACCAGCTACAGGGCGCTGGTGCTGGTAGACGCCGCCCTCGACCAGGCCGTGCGAGACGGGAAGGCGCTGCTCCTGACGCCCCACAACAGGGACGAGGTATGTATCATTATACGGACCAGCTACAGGGCGCTGGTGCTGGTAGACGCCGCCCTCGACCAGGCCGTGCGAGACGGGAAGGCGCTGCTCCTGACGCCCCACAACAGGGACGAGGTATGTATCATTATACGGACCAGCTACAGGGCGCTGGTGCTGGTAGACGCCGCCCTCGACCAGGCCGTGCGAGACGGGAAGGCGCTGCTCCTGACGCCCCACAACAGGGACGAGGTATGTATCATTATACGGACCAGCTACAGGGCGCTGGTGCTGGTAGACGCCGCCCTCGACCAGGCCGTGCGAGACGGGAAGGCGCTGCTCCTGACGCCCCACAACAGGGACGAGGTATGTATCATTATACGGACCAGCTACAGGCGCTGGTGCTGGTAGACGCCGCCCTCGACCAGGCCGTGCGAGACGGGTCGGGAAGAGCCGCTGCTCCTGACGCCCCACAACAGGGACGAGGTATGTATCATTATACGGACCAGCTACAGGGCGCTGGTGCTGGTAGACGCCGCCCTCGACCAGGCCGTGCGAGACGGGAAGGCGCTGCTCCTGACGCCCCACAACAGGGACGAGGTATGTATCATTATACGGACCAGCTACAGGGCGCTGGTGCTGGTAGACGCCGCCCTCGACTCAGGCCGTGCGAGACGGGAAGGCGCTGCTCCTGACGCCCCACAACAGGGACGAGGTATGTATCATTATACGGACCAGCTACAGGGCGCTGGTGCTGGTAGAACGCCCGCCCTCGACCAGGCCGTGCGAGACGGAAGGCGCTGCTCCTGACGCCCCACAACAGGGACGAGGTATGTATCATTATACGGACCAGCTACAGGGCGCTGGTGCTGGTAGACGCCGCCCTCGACCAGGCCGTGCGAGACGGGAAGGCGCTGCTCCTGACGCCCCACAACAGGGACGAGGTATGTATCATTATACGGACCAGCTACAGGGCGCTGGTGCTCCTGACGCCTCTGACTGACGAGATTCATTTAATAATTTAGAGGGACGAGCTACGTAATGTAGACTACAGCTGCGTTCGTTATTAACGTCTGATTAAGCTTTTCAGTCTAAAATTTTAAATAGCAGACGGGACTCGAACCTGCACCCTTCGCTATCCGGGCGAATGAATATATATTTATTGAATTCTCTGTGTTCGCTTTTACAATAAAGTCCCAAGCAATATTCAAGAGTTAAACGTGACTAAATTTAAATCGACCATTAAAAAATCTCTTATTAAGAGAGCTTATTATAAAGTGTCTGATTATATTACAGACAAAAATGCTTGTCTCATCATTCCAACAGGTTTTCTGAACTAAAATAAATCATGGTTGTATTGACATTGTAACAACGTGATGATTTGTAAATGTTGTTAGATTACACTTTTAATGTTGTGGAGTTTTTTTTCGCTCGTTTTTCTCCGCAGCTAAAAATATGTCCAATAACGAGTGGTAGAGAAAAAATGTTTGGTCGTTTCAAAAGAGTTGTACTATACATACAATTTGAATAAAGATACGTCGATTTCTGATTTCCGTCAGGCTCACAGCCACTTCGTCCATTCCATGCTGACTCTCCACGGCAAGTACAGCAAGCTGTTCGCGGACGTGTTCAACGGGGCGCAAGCCTTCATGGGAGCATTAGATAAGGTATTTTTCATTTTTATTGGTTAACTAGCTGTTAACCTTGCAGCACAGCTAGTTAACCTTAGCAGCTGGTTAAGTTAACGCGGTTAGGGATGTTTTCCTGTTCTATGTGTTATTCCAGGGTGTCAGCTAACTCCATACTAAATTTTGTTAAAATCGCTCCAGCCGTTTAAACGTGAAGATGTAACAAACATACACACTCACACATTCAAAAAAAATAGTATGATTCAGGTCCGATGACAGGACAAATCATAAAAATCTTATTATTTTACATTAAGGGGCAGTTCATATTACGTAAGACGATTTAGGGGGAGGGGGGGGTCTACTTACTTAATTTTACTTAGTAATACGTAAGTAAGTAATTGTAATTACGTAAGTATAATGCTTACACAAAAATTTTGATGTTTACAAACTCTGTAGCACAGAAATCAGGATAAGTAGCGAAGAAATTTGCAAAGTGTTATACTATTTTATCGCAAACGTAAAAAAAGTTAGTAATTTGACCTTCAATTGATTACGTAGCATACACAAATTTGACGTCACACAGTAGACGTCATCGAACCGAGCATTTTGGCGGTAAATTCAAAACCATTAAAATAAATTTAACTTTAATTGGTCGATTAGAGAAAAAAGACATTAATTTATTTATTTTTATTTGTCTGTTAAATCATTTGTCCCAATCTTTAAATTAACACATTTAAAAATTATATTTTACATTTTATTTATACTGGCAACATACAGTCTTGTACATCCATGTTTACAATTATTTTAAAGAGAAAACATGGATTTTAGACCTTAAGCGACTACAATTATGTTGTTTAGATATTTCTAAATATTATTATATGAAATTTCTCAAATCAGGTTTTGAAGCGGAAGAATATAATACTCGTATTACATTTTTTTTGCATTGACAATTTAGTTATTATTATTTTCATATAGCGAGGTAGGCAAATGACTCTACCCCACCTGATGTTAAGTGGTAAAGTCCAGACGCGAAGATGTCTGGTACAGCAGTTATAAACTGCCACACCAACCATCCTCACCTTGCCGGCCTGCATGCTTTTTCCCGCTTCTATTATACTGCTACTAGCAAACCAGTGAACCAAATGTTCACCAAAACCTGATTTCTCGAAAACCGGAAGTGCTACGTTACTCAAATCCGGTTTGTAGTCTTATCAGACTATTCTTAACTTATAACTTAAACATTCTCTTTATCTATCTCTTACGGTTTGGCCGCTGAAACAGCACCACAGACGGACGGACTTACTTGTCTAATAGATAAGAGATACTGCTTATACTGCTACAAAGGCTAATGCACAGTCACAGATAGGACTTCGAAAAAGTTAAGAAATAAAAGTTTTCACTGTTCACAAATTTTAAGTGTAATTTACATTTTATTTATACTGGCAACATACAGTCTTGTACATTCATGTTTACAATTATGTTAAAGAAAAATATGGGTTTTAGACCTTAAGCGCTTATAATAATGGTGTTTAGAAATTAAATGAAACCGCATATAACAGGTTGGAAGCGAAAGAATATTATATTTATGTTTTTATTTATTTTTAAGCATTTAACTGCCAGATGTTTAAATCTAAAGATTATATATGAGATTTCTAAATATTATATTACTTGTCATGGTTTTTTTACTTCGACAATTTCATTATTATCACACAGCTTATTGCACAGGCACAGATGGGGGTAGCTCGATAGGAAGTTTAAATTACTTTAGATTACATCGCATCCTTATAATAAAAGTGACTGAAGTCAAAATATTGTTTCGATATCTTTTTCTCGACAAGGTCCAAAAACATTACTAGAGTCTGTGCGGAAAGAGAATGGGCGTGGCGAAAAACGGAACTAACATCAATATTTTTATTTGGCAATCAAACCCAGCAATCTGTAAAACGACAAAGTTTTGTATCGATACGGATTTGTTTGTTGTTGTGATTTCTTGCGGTTTTTTTGTATTTAATCATGTCTGAAAGGGGTAAAACCTTACAAATATGGTAGAAAAGCACTACAGCGCCCTCCAATCTAAATCCCATTCTCTTTCCGCACAAACTCTATATGCTATTTAAGGACAATTCGTAACAAAATCGAAAGTTACCTTCGATTTTGTTACGAATTTGAGTTATATCATTTTCATTCTAAGGGTGCAATGGATTATTTCTTACTTATTAGTGGTTTTCCTCCTTTTAGGGGGCGTCCATAAATTACGTGAGATGTTTAAGGGGGGGAGGGGGTCGAGTCAAATCTCATCTAATCTTACGTTGGAGGGAGGGGGGGTCTGGGCAAATATCACGCATGTTTTTCTAATTGAAACAAAAAAAAATATGTTATTTTGGTCCATTTAATCCAGATTGTACATGCTTAAGATTTAACCTTTACGATTTAAGTATTCTATTGGTAAATTTTTACACTTATAACTCTAAGCAATATTGATTACTAGTCTTATCTAGTCGTAAATAAAAGCACGAAGCAAGTATTTTTTTACAATGATAATCCTACGCGTTTACGTAAGAGACCCATTTTTTTAAGTTCTCACGTGAGATTAGGGGTTGGGGGAGGGGGTTGAATAAAATCTCACGATATCTCACCAGGGGGGGAGGGAGGGACAGAAAATTAAAAAAAACACCTCACGTAATTTGTGGACGCCCCCTTAAGGGGAAGGGTTAATTTACTATACATTATAGTATAACTAATAATCATACTTTCATAATAAAAAGTAACTTAAGTCTAAAAGTAGTTTTATTTTCTTTTTCTACACAGTATACTTAAATATACTTTTTATACTATTTGATTTGATTTTAGAACATAATGTTCAAATGGCTCATACCTTCTGTAGCAGCTTTCTTTTTAATACCTTGTATTAGATAAGGTGAAGTTTCAAATGTTACACATCATACGCGACTACTGTAAGGCTCGCTCGTTTTTTTTACATCGCCAATTTTCTTATCAACGCAGGCCTGTAGCGCTGTCGTGAACAGTCGCCTTTCACCCGATCAGCCTGCTCGGGCTCCGGAACTGCTCGCTCGGTACTGCGACTGTCTCCTGAGGCGAAGGGGGGGCTCCGGGGGCTCCGGGGGGGCCGCCAGCTCCGGGGGAGGGGACGGAGACGCGGACGAGAGGCTGGCGGCCGCCATATTGGTGTTCAAATACGTCGACGATAAGGATGTCTTCCAGAAGTATTATGCCAGAGCGTTGGCGAGGAGATTGATACATCAGTTGTCCGCTTCTATGGAACAGGTGAGTGGATACTGAACGTATACGTTACTTTTCGCATGGTTCACAAATAAAGATTATGAATTAAGATATACAGGGTGTAAAAAAACCTATGACAAAGACTTAAACTACGCATTCTATACACCCAAACAAGTAATATTACTAAATATTATACGTGGGAAACATTTGTATTTTTAAGTAAAGAAATACATTTTTTTTCCAGTGCGCAATTTATAGCCCGGCGCGCTACTGTGGCGCTACGCAAATAATGTGCCTGTGTCTATAATACAGGGAGAAAAAAGCAGCCCTTGCTGAGTTTCTTGCCGGTTCTTCTCAGTACAAGGTCTCCCGCCGTAGTTTTGCGAATCGATGGCGTAGCTTCTGACCTTCACAAGTGCTTGTAACAGCCTAGATTGAATAAATGACTTTTCATTTCATATATGTGTGCGTGTGTGTATGTGGGTCGATAAAAAAGTTTCTAAATAACGTTTTTGTAAAAATATTGAAAAAAAAATGTGATTTTGACCTTCAATATCTCCATAACCATAGATTTCCCAGGTATGGTCCAGAAAAAAAAAATGATCGTCATGATGTGGAAAATACGTGGCCTTCGGCTTCGTTAAAGATTTTTTTACACCCTGTATAAGAATAATGTACTGTTTTATTATCTTCAACATGGCTTTGTTCTTTATTCAATACATTTACATGAAAAACACTATCATTGTAACCTCCTGCCCGTTGTACAAAAGACCTGTTTTATTTAGCTTCAAATGGCTGAAAAGAGTTCTGACCGCTATAATATTGTAATAGTGAATTCTGAATAACCTGAGAAACTTGCTGATTCCAACAATGATTAAGTTATATTTCCACAATTTTTTATTTATTTATTTATCTTTAACAAAGTTTCTATAGCGGTTTTTTGTGGAATTTAATACAATAAAATATAGATACAATCTAAAGGCCAATTACAGAAACTCATTATGTACTAACTAATTTCTCCTCGTTAAATCAGTTAACAATATTATTTTTCATAAAATGATTTAAATTAAGCTACTTTTAGAATCTACGGATAATAATTCCATAATAGGTATGTTATTTACAAATTTGTGCCGTTTTAGAATATTTTTAAATATGAAATACATAAATCATTTACAATCTTGAAAATTATGAGATCTCCTACGACGTCATTACCTTGCTACATTTGATAAAAGATGTTGCCAATTATTTACAGAGCCATCAATTTCGCATTTTCTTAGAATATTCCCTCACATTATATCTGTTTAACACTTCACAAAAACCTTTTTTAAAGTAAAAATAAATTCAAATAATTTGTTTTTGTCGGCCTGGCATGAAATCTGTGAAGTTTTATTTTGTTCATTTGCAAAAAAATCTCTCAAACCTGATCAGAAAAATAAAAACTATTATTTTAGGCCTTCAGTGATTTGTTATAATAAAAATAAGGGCCAAATATGTCATAGTTTTTGGGAGCTTTGAATTAATATTGTTTCTTTCGATATATTTTAGTAAAATGGAACATTTTCCTTTTGAAACAGACATGGAAGTCAATTTTTATACTTTTAAATATTTGATTATTTCACGAAAGTTGTATGAGAATTATAAACACGTAATAATTAATAAAAAAATATTATAAAATTATGGGAGAACTAATAAATCCATTATAACACAAATGACAGTTGTTGCACAAATGACTGTGTGTATAACATAAAAATATTGTGTAAAATGTCCTTAATAAATTTATATTTTCATACTAACCACACCACCATTTGTCTAACACCTTATATACACACATATTCGAATGGGAAATTGAAATTTAACTATAAGTAAAAATATACATTCGATTAGTTATACAATTCCAGAATCCCGAGATTTTATTTTTAATTAAAATATCCTAACAATCTGCTTCCATAATTTAGGTTATAAATTTTAGGTTATCAAAGATAAATATATAATAGAAAGATCATCATAAGCCTATTAATGTCCCCACTGCTGGGGCACAGGGCTTCCCTATGGATGGAATAGGGATATCGGGCCATGACCCACCACGCGGGCCCAGTGCGGATTGGTGGGTGCTAACGACTGATGCAGCCGGGACCGACGGCTTAACGTGCCTTCCGAAGCACGGAAGAACTCGAGATAGTAAATTTTTGGTCACCCATCCAATAACCGACCACTGCGAAAGTTGTTTAACTTCAACGATCGCGCTAACCACCTGCGCCATCGAGCTCCTTAGGTAAACATTTGGATATTATCCGATCTCTAGTATCATTGCGTATTTATTTATTTATTATTATAACCCCCAAAACCAGGAAGAAGCGATGATAAATCGCCTAAAAGCGGCGTGTGGATACGAATTCACGAACAAGCTGCACCGAATGTTCACCGACGTGGCCGTGTCGGCCGACCTCAACGCCAAGTTCCAGCAACATCTCAGGGAGAACAACTTGCAGACAAATACGGGCTTCTTTATACAGGTATGTGTTTATAAGGGTCGGGGTTGCTAGTTCTCCTGTTTTTCCCAAATGTCTCGTGTTCTTCTGCTAAAAAAAAAGGGGGTGTCCATAAATTACGTGAGATGTTCAAGGGGAGGAGGGGGTCGAGTATCTAAAAAAAAGTAAAAAAAAATAAAAAAATAGATAAAGATAATAATAATATATAAAATAATAATATTTTCATATCTTAGCTTTCTTTTTTAAATTGCGTTAAACGTAATGTAAAATGTGTCACTCGAATCACCTGTGCTGTGCTTTGCCGTTTTCGCTATTAAGAATGTTACCTTTGATTTAATACAATCAATATGGGGGGAGGGGGGGGAGAGAAGTGCATATCGGACCCCCCTCGGTCGTTGCGTGGTCGCGACCAACGTTGATATCGCGAAAAAAAAAATATCAGCTGTTTCATACATTTCGGCCGATTAGCTGATGCACTTTTGTATGAAACAGCAGATTTTTTCTTCGCGATTTCAGCGTTGGTCCCATAATAAGAGTCGTTCCTGTTGATGGGTAGAATCACCCCTTAAGATGTCGTCGGTGTTTTAAGATTAACCCTGTATATATATACAAGATTAATCTTAAAAAAACACCACCAACCTCTTAGGGGGTATATACAGATGTATATACGTCTGTATGCATATACAGGGTGCATACATCTGTATATATATACATACAGATGGAGCTAAAGAAGTTTAACTTCAGTCGTGTGGTCATAAGCACACTCGGTTTTTTTATTAAGTGAAAACGATCTTGAATTTGCCAAAAACCCTTTTTCGGTACCCAAATTAGGTCCTTCAAGCGGGCGCATGGCCCCTCGGCGGCGCTATGGCCCCGCTGGCCCCCCCTCCGGCCCTGGAGCGGCCGGCGCGGTTATTCGAAGCGTTCTATCGCGCAGCTTTCAGCGGAAGACGTCTGGCCTGGCTCCACCATCTGTGTACGGGGGATCTGAGGACCAAATACACGCCGCGGCTCTACCATGTCAGCGGGACTACACCACAGGTTGGTTGATGTTTAAATAAAACATTTTTTACGGGTTGTTTGTTTTTGGAGTTTACTCCTTGAGAATCGATTTGCATATATAAGGGGCCCGGTATGAGAAAAATGTGAGGAGTGAAATCTATCGATGAATGATATTGAGGACCTCGTTACGTTTTTGTGCGCGACCTCATCTGCGCTTTTCACCTTTCACTTTTAGCCATGGCGACGGATAAAAAACATTGAGTTGTCACAGATGTCGATAAATTAAATAAACTAAAAATAGATAAAATCGGAGCGAAATTAATGAAAACAAATAAATAACAGAATATAGAGAAACGCCGGTGAGTGTCCAGCACTCTGGAATAGTGATTTTCGGTACAGATGGAATTATAATACATATTTACAAAATGATGACTAGTGTGTGATACTTTTGAAATTGTGTGTTTCCAGAAATACATAATAAAATATATGATGAATATCGCTGATGTTAGAAGATAAAATGTGTGACATGGAATCTATGATAGTCGAAACCATGGGACGATTCCTGAGGTATCTCTACTTGTAACCGACTTCTTCGGACTTGATTTTGTTTTGTGCCTGTTCAAAGACAATCGTTTTTAGAGTGTAAACTCCGGTCGTGCGTCGGAGCTGACACACACAATTTTCTTTTCTACATGGCTTCGCACAGCTTGTGCATTTAGCCAATGTCAAGTGTTAAAATGTTTACAAATTCTATAGCACTCGTGGTCAAAGTAACTGGCAGTCGAGTCAAACCCTCTTTGCCTATGTTTCAGTAAATGTGTGGGGATTTACTGGAACCTCCCCGTGGACTTCTTGAGGGAACGTCGAGAGACACTTTCCGCTATTTTGTTTCACTTGCCAACACTTGTGCATGTTCCCGAACACTTAGTGGTTAATAATCCACCATTATTAGACGCTAACATCCGCCACAACTCAATTTTTTTAACAAGAAAAACAAAACTGCTAAAGGGACGCTTCCCGATCCCCCTAAAAAGTCATTTTTACGGGTAATATGCACTGAATTTATTTATCTGACGTAACGCAGCCTTTGCAGGACTGCGTCTTCGGAAATAATGATTTTTTATTTACTTTGTCGAGCTACCTTCGAAAGACTTTTATTGAGCGTTCGGATATTTCATTAGAAGATTTTTAAAACTTTATTGTCTATGCTTGAATTTATTAGCTAATTTAATTTACTAAAGTAATTCATTTAATTCTCTTTTATAATTTTGAGTTTATTTATTTGACCCTAACTACCGTAAAGGCTGCGAAATGTCAGATAAATAAAGTCAGTGCATATGACCCGTAAAAATCGTTTTATTAAATGAATGATGTGCGTAAAAACCTAAGAAACAAATAGTTGATATTTTATTAGCCGCGGGGCCGCAGCCCCCGAACTAACATCACCCAGCTCGGAGGAAGATCTTCCCCTTTGGCCTTCCTACACAAGTAGTAGTAAACATCTGTAAGAAAAAAATGGAATAAAACTTGTTTTTACGGGTTAATGCACGAAACTTTATTTATTTATTGACGTTTCGCAGCCTTTTCAGGTCTGCATCGTCAGAATAGTGATTTTTTATTTAAAATTGTCGAGCTACCTTCGAAAGACTTATATTGAGCGTTCGGTTATTTCATTGGAAGATTTTTAAAATTTTATTGTCTATGTATGAATTTATTAGTTAATTAAGTATTTTATTTAAAATTCTTGTTGTAATTTTGAGTTTATTTATTTGACCCTAACTACCGTAAACTACCACCGGTTCCAAAATTGGGAGACCTTCCTGAGAAGAACCGGCGAAACAATCTCAAGAGAGGCTTTCTATCTCCTTCTTATGTTAAATTATGCAAACAAAAAGAACTAATAGTATCCGATGGTCTCGCAGTGTGTGCTCGGGGTTGGGATTTTATCTCCTGTATAATAGGTTCCCAAGCTGGTGGTATATACCAACCATCTTCCCTATTGAGTTGAGTGACGTGCGTGAAAACCTAAGAAACAAATAAAAAAAATGCAATTATAGTTACATTGTTTTTTGTCCCATCTGCTTCTTGGTCCGCGGCGGATTTTTTCTAGTAAACTTTTTTTTAGATTTAAACATGTACGAATTAAAGGCTTATAAAAATTTAACTATCACCATTATTTTTGGGATACAGTGCGCCCTTCTCCTCTCGTTCGAAGGCGTGGACTCGTGGTCCATTAGGGAGGTGAGGGAATCCTTACAGCTGTCCTCGGAGGCGTGGGGCCGGCACGCGCGGCCCGTGGTGGAGGCGGGCCTGTTGCTGTGTACCGACGGAGACGTGGACTCCGACGATGCCACTCTACACCTCAACCTGGCCTTCACCTGCAAAAGGACTAAGTTGAGATTGACCGCGGCCACGCCTGCCAACCAACAAGGTGATGTATCATCTCTTATCTATTAGACGAGTCCGTCCGTCCGTCCGTCCGTCCGTGGTGCTGTTTCAGCGGCCAAACCGTGAGAGATAGATATGGAGAATGTTTAAGTTATAAGTTAAGAATAGTCTGATAAGACTACGAACCGGATGTGAGTAACGTAGCACTTCCGGTTTTCGAGAAATCGCGTGATTTCTATTTCAAACGAAACCACACGAAATCTCCGAAGTTCTCGATTAATTAAATACATTTTTTTGAAGTTATACTTCTTTAGGCGCGTTATGAAAAAATGATGAGAGTGAAATTTTAAGATGCGCGCGCATCACTGTAACGCAAAGTTTTTATTAAGCTTTTCCAGATTTTTTATTAAATTATTGTAATTAATTATTTGCATGCAATTAAAAACTAATTTTAAACGATGCCAAAGAAGGGTAACTTCTCACGCGCCTACATAAGTACACGCACCCATTTTTTTTTTGGTGAACATTTCCTTCACTGGTTTGCTAGTCTAATATATAAAACTAGCAAACCAGTCAACCAAATGTTCACCAAAACCTGATTTCTCGAAAACCGGAAGTGCTACGTTACTCAAATCCGGTTTGTAGTCTTATCAGACTATTCTTAACTTATAACTTAAATATTCTCTTTATCTATCTCTTACGGTTTGGCCGCTGAAACAGCACCAAAGACAGACGGACTTGTCTGATAGATAAGAGATTCTCGTGTCGCGGTGTTTGTGGTTAAACTCCTCCGAAACGGCTTTCCCGATTCTCATGAAATTTTGTGTGCATATTGGGTAGGTCTGAGAATCGGACAGCATCTATTTTTCATCCCCCTAAATGTTAAGGGTAATCCAACCCTATTTTTTTTTTTTAATTTTAGATATTTTGTTTTTATTTAATTTTTTTATGATACATCATACAAAAATAAATATAACCCTAAATTTTCGCCCTTCTACCACCAACCCCTATTTTTTTATGGCGGTGCGAAGTTCGCTAGGACAGCTAGTCTAATATAAAAATGAATCGCTGAATGTGTTGCTAACAACGTTAAATACCCTAGATACACCAACACGAACGAAATCGTGCCCGAAACTTGTCCAAAAGGTACAATGGGCGATCCCCGGAGCTCCGTAATATGATCGCGTAGTCAAAATCAATATAAGAATCAGAATTTTATTTGTGAAACGTATAATAACAACGTATATACATGGTATATAAAGTTTTTGTTAGTATCACTACATTTCCACCTTAATTAAGGTATACAAAAAAATATGGACCTATGAAAGAAGTAAATTTGATAAGCCATAAAATTGTCATACTAATAGTCAAAAATTAAATGGAAAAATAAGCAAAATGTCCAAAATAGCATTTCTTAACTGGATTGTTAATTTTAATATGTCTAATTTTTTTAATAGAGAACTACTTTTATAAAAGACATGTCCGATTTAATTACAGGATTTGTCATTTAAAAATTCCTCAACTGTATAGGAAGCTTTTTCAACTAATGCTAACAGACGCTTTTTAAAGTCTTTATCAGTAGTGATTTAAGCATTATTTAAATATTTAAAAAGTAACCTTCAATACATACTGTATAAGAGCTTAAATAAAACGCATGCGTCAAGGACTTCTGTCAGTTCGAAATGCAAGCTCGTAAAATTTTACGACTTATTGCTATATGCGGAAGAATTTAGACCTTAGTTCTTGAACTCTACGCGTAATTCTGAACGCGCTGTTAGCAATATAGCAGGCACGGACCGCGAAGAAAAGAGACGGCTATATGGCGACGTATAAAAGACCATGCATTTGAATATCACAAATATTTTATATTAAATCAGTTTATAGTAAGTATTAGATCAAAATTTACTTCAAATGCGTTAAATTAACAAACATCGACAAGATACTGTCGAAAAAACGACACTTTTCTTACTCTAAGTATTTTTTTCGCGGAGCTCTGTGGCAACTTGACTTTGTAACGGTCCGCGCGTGACTGTGAACCAAGAAGTGCTTGAGTGGAGTTCAAGCACTTCTTGATTGGGACACATTTTGAGCGCTCGTGGTGTATCTAGGGTATTTAATATCGTTGGTTGCTAAGTGCAAATCTCAAGAACAGCTGAACGGAATTCAATAATTATTTTTTTAGAATATTCCTTGCAGTACGAGGATGGTTCTTACGCAGAGGAAATTTTAAAAAAAATGTCTGAAATGTCCAAAAACTACACTTTTCTAAACTCTCATACAAACGATTCGTAATAATACTTAAAAGTCAATTTGAACTTTAATACCATACCATCAATTTCAAATGTTAGTGGAGAGGTTCCGGGAAGGCAAAACAATTGAGTGACGTGATGTCAATAGTTGTTTGGAAAAGGCAAATATACCATTTTCAGCCTTTTTATAATAATGTGAAGAGTCATTTTAGTCTACACTGCATGGATTTACTTCAAATTTGGCACGAATATTATTAAGAAGTTGGGTCAACATATAGGCTACATATTATCACGCTATCACCTCCGGGGAACGAGCGGTGAACCTTTATTTCTAACTAACTCCACGCGTACGAAGCCGCGGGCGACCGCTAGTAAGAAACTGAATGACATATTTACAGTGAGCTTTTTAACTTAAACATTTTAACATTGTTTTAAGCGGTTATTTGATTAAAAATGAGAGAGATTTATATTTAGTGGATCCAAAACCTCCGGACTGTAAAAAAAGTATTTTGACCAGATGCGTCATTAAACCATTTTGTTCGCCGGCTTCTCATATATAAAATTCTCATGTCATAATACTCCTCCGAAACGGCTTGACCGATTTTTATGAAATTTTATACGCATATTCTGTAGGTCTGAGAATCGGCTACTATCTATTTTTCACACCCCTAAGTGATAAGGGTTGTCCAAGCAATAATTTTTTATTTTTTGTTTTTTTTATTTTTTTTATAACGTTGCAATAAAAAATATCTTTAACCCTAAATTTTTACTCTTCTACCACCAGTCCCTATTTTTATAGCGATACAAAGTTCATACTAGCTGACCCAGCGAATGTTACGTGGTACAAGTGGATAATAAACTCCATTTATGTTTTTTATGAATTCGGCTTATTTTTCTATACATTAAAATGCAGGACAACTCTTGAGGTACAAATGTGGTCAGAGTTGTATTGAGAAAAGAGTAAATTCATTGTTATATCTTTTTATTAAAATATTAAGTTTTTGGTTGAACGAATTAATGAAAATGTTCGATAGGGTGTTCATTATAACAAGAGGTCTTTAAAATCTATTTAACTTTAAGCAAGCATAAGTTACATATTTCTTTCCTTTTCCAAGCTCCATGATCACTAAACATTCGCCGTATGTCCAATCGTTAGATACATCGGTATACTTTCGTAATTGACTATTAATTAGACACATCCACATCACAATAGACAAAATGCCACGCGTTCGTGTGTTTTCGGGGAATCCCCCTTCATATCTGTCAGTTCATTTTGACAACTAGTGCTGCCGAACTTGGAGCTAAGCAATAGAAAGTCGCTTATCGATTAAAGTTCGGTCATTTTGTCTAACATACAAAAATTCGATATATATATCTTTATATATATAATTCTTCTGTGAGTGTGTATGTCACTGAACTTCTCTTAAACGACGGGACCGATTTTGATGAAATTTTTGGTGTGTGTTCAAGGGGATCTGAGAATGGTTTAGATTCACAATTTTGTCCGCTGGACAACCCCTATTTTTTTAGGGCGGTACGAAGTTCGCTGGGTCAGCTAGTATATATATATGTCGGCGAATGGCGTCTCGCTCGCTCCTACGAAACGCAAAACCGACAACAAATGTCATCAGTCATTGTACCATTGCTTTGTGAAACGTCAAGTAATGACAGTGACAGCTGTCATCACTTGGGAGTGGTCTATGCTAAGGGTATTTAAGGGGCTATGCTTCATTGGAAGGGGCATTCAGCATACGGCATTCGGCATTCAGACGTGAGCTGCGATAGTGAACGGACGTTAGCAGAGAACTCTCCGCGCTTCACAAAGCAATCCGTTTGTACCTTGGCAATCATAACTGATTTTGTAAAGTAATAAGAAGATTCAAATTAAACGTTAGCTTGGTCACTAGACTACAGTTTTATTTTCGGGAAATATCATTGCATAACCAAGATGGCGGATCAAGAAAAACCACGTGGCCAACCGCCTATATTATCGCCCAATCCGACATATATACCTTAATTCAACGAAAATTTCGATTGAAACTTCACACTGCCTTTGCTATGTTTTTGGTTCGTTTTTAATTATAATAAGACTAGCGGCCCGCCCTCGCTTCGCTTCGGTGTAGAGCTGAAGTGTAGACTACAGTTTTTGTTCTCAGGCTTGTATTATACACAATGACATTCATCTATGATTCTTCTTATACCTGCATGCAAAGTCTCAGCCCGATCGGTTTAAAATTGACAAAGTTTCATACAAACTTTCATTCCCTATTTTATCCCCTTGGGGGTAGAATTGATCAAAATCCTTTCTTAGCGGATGCCTACGTCATAACATCTACCTGCATGCCAAATTTCAGCACGATTCGTCCAGTGGTTTGGGCTGTGCGTTGATAGATCACTATGTCAGTCAGTCACCTTTGAGTTTTATATATATAGATTCGTCGTTAGAATATAGATTGAGGTATAGATTTTCCAAAGAAAGCTTTCATTAACAGTCTATCGTTCAAATTAAGTATAATCAAAAATGACGAAATTAAATTTCGTTTGAATTTCGTTATCAAAAGTTCGTTTCGGAGAAAGAGAGAAAGTTTTATCTCAGTTGAATTGACAATATTATGATATCCAGGAGGCAGCGGGTCGGGCGGGGCGGGGGCTAGCACCGGGGAGGACAATCCCCCCGCGCACTGCGACGATGACCGCAAGATGTATCTACAGGCCGCGCTGGTGCGGATCATGAAGCAGAGGAAGGTAACTATACCATACCACAATACTAAACACTACATAACGTACACTACACTATATTAAACACGCACTGAACCATACTACCCTGCATAACGTTAAACAATATTGCACTCACTATACCACTCTACACTATATTACACTCGCGCAACACTTCATCACACCACACTGCACTATATCATAATAAAATCACCTAAATACACTACATCATACTACACCACAATCCCCCCGCATATTGCGACGATGACCGAAAGATTTATCTACAAGCTGCACTGGTGAAGAAGAGAAGAGAATGAAGCAGAGAAGACTACCATACCACTTAACATACACAAACTACACTATATTAAACTCGCACTAAACCAAACCCCACATTATTACGTAAAACAAAATTGCACTCACACAAAATTATAGTAGACTGCACCACTCTACACTATATTACACTCGCACGTAAGGTTACCATCCGTCCGGAATGTCTGGACTTTTAGACTATATTCCGGACTTCGTCGGGATCTTTAAATTGCCCGGGTTTTTTTTAAATTACATTGAATATGAATAGTAAAAGTACATATTGACTTAAATACCATACTATTGTAACATGGTATAACCAAAGTGAGGAATGGTACCATTGTGTGTCTAAAAAGTCCGAACTTTTTTCGAAATGTAAGAATTTTTGTAAGGACTGAAAAATTCCTAAATGGTAACTCCTACTCGCACTACACTTTATCACACCACACTGAACTATATCGCACTATATTACATTATGTAACACTTACATCAAACCTACATTACACTACAACATACTACACTACAATCCCCCTGCACACTGCACTGTGACGACGACCGGAAAATGTATCTACAGGCAGCGTTAGTACTAATCATGTAGCAGAAGAAAGTAATATAATAAATACTTAACTATGTCATATTCACCACGCTAGATTATATCATTTTTTTTTATAGCCAGGTAGGCAAATGACTCTACCCCACCTGATGTTAAGTGGTGATAAGTCTAAATGCAAAGATAGCTGGTACAGCAGTTATAAACTGCCACACCAACAATCCTCACCTTGCCGGCCTGCAAGAATGCTTCTTCACGCCTCTTAAAGGACCCCAGATTATAGGAAAGGGAAATTGATTACAGCCATTATTATTATACACACTACACTACACTATATTACACTCGCACTTCAGTGTAACTTCCCGTCATGTCACTTTTACTGACTAAATTGATTTAAGATAAAATGTACATTTTATTTTATTTCAAAATTAAACAATCGCCTTTGCCTGTAAACGCGTGTGCGTTGCCTACCAAATCATTCATCATCAGCCTATTAATGTCCCCACTGCTGGGGCACAGGCCTTCCCTATGGATGGAATAGGGAGATTGGGCCATGACCCACCACGCGGGCCCAGTGCGGATTGGTGGGTGCCAACGATTGCAGATGCAGCCGGGACCGACGGCTTAACGTGCCTTCCGAAGCACGGAGGAAATCGAGATAGAAGATATTTGGTCACCCATCCAATGACCGACCACTGCGAAAGTTGCTTAACTTCAACGATTGCAGCCGAACGCGCTAACCACCCGCGCCATCGAGCTCCTCAGCTACCAAATCATTTTACGCTACAAAACGTTATCGAGTCACTTTGGGTAGATAGCTTCACATACAATACTTCTCGGTCACCCATCCATGTACCTTTGGAAGCGTTGCTTAATATTACTAATTGTTAATTAATTATATATTTTCGTATCCGTCAGGTATTACGTCACACGGAACTCATACAAGAGGTGGTTTCTCAGGCGCGGGGTTCTTTCGCCCCGTCCGTAGCCATGATCAAGAAATGTATAGAGGCACTCATAGACAAACAATATCTAGAACGAGCGCCCGGAACATTAGACACTTACTCCTATCTAGCGTAGGCGACATTATAGGCCATTCCCATTAGGCCATAAGGTAATTCCCATTCGCCCCTACAACGATTCCCATTCAACCACACAATGATATGAATGAATGATTAAAGGTCGGCCAAGTTACATATTGAAATTGAGTTATCCATTAAAACTAAGTCTAATTCCCACTGTCCCTGTTGGTTGTACCCATAGACCTACAAAACTCGACCGAGTTACGTAGCGAAATTTGTATTCAGCTGTAAAATGTGTGCGGATTCCCATTGTCCCCTATACAGGGTGTTACAAAAGTCCGAAATAAAACTTTAGGGTTTGGTTGTGTTCCTTGTCTAGAATTACCTACGAAAGTTTGACGCCTTTCAGACCACTTTTATTTTCTAATTAAATTAATAAAAATATCGTTTTACACCTGCCTATGACAACCCTATAAATGCGTACGATTACTACTACCTAAACAGACCCCCCTCTCTCCCCCAGGCGCCCCTGCGCCCCGCTCAGATACCTACAAATTTTTATTTCGGAATACATACCTACAAATTTTATTTCGGAATTCTGTAACACCCTGTATTGATTGTTACTACAGCAAGTTAAACAAAAACACACGAATTATGCTTGTCAAAAAATGATGGTAAAAAAACTATGGCCCAATGGGAATGCGGTTAAATGCAAATATGTTTATGCGTGTTTTTTGTATAAGCAGAATCATAGACTGACCATTGCGATGTGAAACATAAAAAATCTAGCAGTTAAATGCTTAAAATATATATAATAACACAAATATTTTTTTAAATGGAAATTTTAACCTTTATCATCATTAGTTGTTTTAATTTTATTGTGTGTCATGATGCGATCAGCCCACGTGTTTAACCTGACGCGAGTTTAACATTTTTTACCAATACGAAAAAAGTGTACGACGCCGCTAAAGAATTTTTTCACTTTAAAAAGAAATATCCTTTTCATAATCTATTTTTATTTGTGAATAAGAATGATCTTGTATACCTACGTTATGGATTGAAGCAGGGTTAAATTTGATTCAATATTGAGGATAACAAATCTATGTTGTTTTTCTACATGTTTCCATCGCAACGGTCAGTCACTGGGTCATTTTCCTATTCAATATAATATTGATTTTGAGACGCTCCTAGGAAATTTATCAGAATAACAAATGTGCTTATTATATGTACCCCCGATATTCAACTTTAATAGCAACAAAGCAATATAATCTTTTCATTTGCAAATAGATATAATGTATCTACGTAAAAATTTAGAGATCTGTACCCCTAGCACGAACCAATATCGAATTCGTGTCGTTTGCGAGTCGAAATGTCATCGTGAAATGTGTACTGATTTTTTAATTCTAGTTACGCACTTTGTGCCGCTGCTGTTCAAGTTTCCATACAAAATTTGACATTGACATTTCGGTTTGCAAACTATTCGAATTCGATAATGACATTTCGGACTCGCAAACGATACGAATTCGATATTCGATAATGGTTCGTGCTAAGGGTACTGCGCTTTACATAAAAAGTTGCGATTTGTTCAGCATAAATTATTTATCGAAATAGACTAAATTGTGTTTACAGGCTACATTAGGCAGTCGCAAACTAATATTTTGTTTCAATGGTGAAATATTTTGTAGTAGATTGTAAAGAGAAAATGTTAGTATTAGGAATACAAGCAATTGTACCTAAATATACTTATATATGTACCTACCCTACCTAGTATCCCATAACAAGCCATAATTTATATGTAGAAATATCAATTTATTTTGATTATTTACTTATTTTTATTAGGCATTATTGCTAACAGTTTAAAGTTCAAATTGTTTACTTGTAAACAAATACTGAAAATATTCTTTTAGTTATATAGGGTGAAATTGAATGTTTCTATGAAACTTCGTGAGATTGTTGGGTTATGTGTATAGAGTATGCCTGTCTTTTTTCGGATTTTTTTGAAGTATATTTTTTTCATGTATTTATTTATAATTTGTGTATTTTTATGTCCTTTCCTCGTTTTGAGTAGTTATTCATTTTAAACAAACAAACTTACATGTCCAGTGAAAAACAACTAATAAATAAGCACTTCTAAAAAACGGAAAAACATTGAAATTCCACCGCGGGTCAACGACCGACCGCGCCCGCCAGCCGTTGAGTGAGTAGCTACCTAACTCTAACCAGAGCTCAACTGACTCGTTTGATTCCACACAATAGGTACAATAAAATCGTCTTAGATGCCTTTATTGAAATTGAAATAATAAGCACAAATGTCATCTTTTCTTAAGCAGAGAAAAACTTTAAAAGTTAATAATAATTTTGTCACGATTGGAAATAGGCAAATGTTAAACAAAAAGAAATACTTATTGCTTAATACCCCAAGAATGAAATTTATAACCAGGTATTCAAAGTACTTACGAGACCGGCGATTTAGGTAGGTACAACGAGGAACGAGGAACATATTCATTTTTTTCACTAGAACTTTTTATCAAATCAATCACACTGGTAGTACACAATTAGTTGTTTCTAATCAAAAAGTATTTACACTAGCAATAAAAAGAGACTTAAATTATTATTTGCAAAATTGTTGCTCTAAACCACCATTTTGCTGCAAACAAAGGTTGCCTGTTTGCGGACGTGTCTTTTCACCTTTTTTAAAGTGTCCCTATAACTACTCACTGCACAAAATGCAACTTCTATGGTTTAGGGACTCATTCGTAAACCAAACCTACTTCGTCACACTCGCGATAGCAGTACACCATCTCTAAATATTCTTGGTTTGTATACCGAGGCATAATGAAATTATCACAGTGTATGTCATCAAGTCAAAAGATGCGCACGCTCACGCGCGATTGATATACTTGCGACTGCGTTTTGCATGCAATCAAAGCAAACCACCGCGCGCGGGGAAGAGGGGAGGTGGGCGGAATTCACATCATCAAAGACGCCGCAACCGGCGCTAGTTGCCAGCGTGCGGCGCGCCGCCCGCCCGTGCTTGCCGCAAAACAACATATTATTATGTGTGTGTGTGTGTATGTGTGGCTGTGGCTGTGATTAAATGTGTTCGGAATTTCATGACGTGGGCAAATCAGACACGAAGAGTTCCTTCCTTCACTAAGCTCGTAAGTTATACCGATTTGCTCTTAATTTTAAGAAGATTAATATTATTGATTAATTACCTGTGCTTTATGAAATAATATTCAAAGGTATTGTGTATCAGCGAATAAATAATTATAATATAGCATCTAAGACTATTTTATTGTATTGTTTTTAAATAGTGTGGATCAAAGCGAGTAGGTAAGCGCCGAGTCATCTGTGCGTGTAGTTAGGTACCTACAGGCGGCCGCCGGTCGTCGCCCCGACCGGCGCTGATCTCGACTGTAGGCATAATGAAGGCATTCATTAAGTTTCCGTTTTTTTAGTAGTGCTTATTTTAAGTTGCTTTATAACTTCTATGTAGACGTGTTTAAAATGAATAATTACTCATAAGGAAGAAATGACAAAAAAATAACCAAATAAAAAATTAAAAAACGAAAAAAATTATTTTAAAAAATCCGAAAAAAATCAGGCATACTCTATACATGTAACCCATCAATCTCACGAAGTTTCATAGAAACATTCAATTTCACCCTGTATATAAAACTAAAATATTCATAATATATTATAAAGGTTATATTTGCTTGCAGGAGCGTCATAGTTTAGCAATATTATCATAAAACGGTTATGATTATATTTTCTAATGACAAAACGATACAACTGGGTATTATTTTATTTATACACCTACTTAAAACTAAACGTATGAACAATCTAGATTTTTATATGATAGGTGAAAAAATAGTTAAGTTTGAACTATAATTCCATGACACAGGAAAAACGATTTTATTTTGACATTTTATAGCGAGGGTTATATGTATAGTTTTTCCCCCTTTTCTTATCACAACTAAAATTTAAAATTTTACTGTAATTAATGCTATTTAATGTAATTTTAACGAATATTTTGAACTTTTATCTAAAATTTTCGATTAATTTCTTTATAATGTACTTTGAAACGCAAGTAACATAATAATGAAATCTATATATAATACTAGCTGTCCCAGCGAACTTCATACCGCCATAAAAAATAGGGGTTGGTGGTAAAAGGGTGAAAATTTAGGGTTGTATGTATTTTTGTATGATGTATCATAAAAAAATTAAAAAAAAATTATCTAAAATTAAAAAAAAATGGGGGGGGGGGTACCCTTAACATTTAGGGGGATGAAAAATAGATTACATCCGATTCATATAAAGCATATTTATTTTTCACGAAAATCGGTCGAGCGGTTTCGGAGGAGTTTAACCACAAACACCGCGACACGAGAATTTTATATATTAGATATGACTATGATAAATTACTGTATTTGTAACTAGTGGCAAGTTGGAAGAAACTAATGGATATTATGTTTTCCCCCATAACTTTTGTGCATGTAATGCATATCTATGTTTACTTTTCTTGTTAAGGATTGTTTGTATTCGATTAAGTATAGATATAAGCAAAGATTAATAATATTGTATATTAATTCAAATGTGTTAGAACAAAAATAATATGTACCTACTTATCTACACACCTTAGAAGTTACACTTCTTAATATAAAACTAGCAAACCAGTGAACCAAATGTTCACCAAAACCTGATTTCTCGAAAACCGGAAGTGCTACGTTACTCAAATCCGGTTTGTAGTCTTCTTAACTTATTTCTTAAATATTCTCTTTATCTATCTCTTACGGTTTGGCCGCTGAAACAGCACCACAGACAGACGGACGGACTTGTCTAATAGATAAGAGATAAATGCCATCTATCTAAGGTCGCTATGTTTTACTAAGAGATGATATGTTACCATAAATAATTGGTATCTTATATATTTAAAATTCACTCATCAGTGTTGCCATAATGCGCTTAATGAGGATGAAAAATTATGAGTCTCGTTTATCTATTTGGCTGTATCCAGTTGTATCTTTTGTCATTGGCCGGAAGCTGTTGTAAATAGACGTAATGTAATACATAGTTATATGATAGCGAGCGACTGTATCTATAACGCAATTGGGAGGAAGTAATATTAATTATTAAATAAACATTGTACGGATGCCGTTAATACCGCTGTTTCATTTTAAACCCGAATACGCCAGAAGGTAAAAGAAAAAAAAAAGAAGGTGGTTATGTCTTGCTAAAGCTTTGTTTTGATGAAAAACCGATTTCTGGCGTGGCAACGTTCGCACGTAAAATGTAATATATACCAGTGCTCAACTACTCGCCGATCAGTACGGCGCCAGCGCCCTTCGAGGCAGGACCTATTTCATTTTTTACCGCACGCATCCCAAGCAATAGGGTATTTGACAGTATTAAAAATAAAGTCCCAATTGTTATCATCTGTGTTTAGAATGAATATTGGCAGGGGTTTTTAATATTTTTACTACAAAAATATTAATAATTT